AATACCGTGGCGGCGTGTACTTCTTGTTTGCGACTTTGCGAGTATACCAAACCGCGTGTCGTGTTTTGCCGGCCTCGCGATGATTAAACGATCCCGCGACCGGTCATCCGGAGAACTGAAATCCCTACACATTAATTACACGGGCCGAACGCCGTCGTCGGGAGGACGCGGTCACTACAAACCCCCTTCCCCCGGTTCCCCAGCACCCGTCACCACAGCACCCCTCGGAAAGCCTTATATTGCTAACCGCCGCCGAGACGTTTCGACCGCCGACCGCCGCCAATTTCCAGCTAATTCTTCAACGTCCGTCCGACGGGGCTCGCGTACGACCACCGGCGAGAGGTGTACAACACACCAACAGCGATTCAATTATTATTATTATTATTATTATTATTATTATTATTATTGGTATTATTATTATTCGTGGCCGTCGTCGACGAGGTTGCGACCCGAATGAAAATCGTCGACGATTCTTTAATAGACCAGTCGAATAGCGTGACGTCATAATAGTATTATTATAGGACAATAATCCGCATCAAATCATAATTGAAGGGTATGCAAAGAAAAAACAAACGATTTCTGTTTGTTTTAATAGCGTGTTTTCAATTAGTACACAAATGTGTACATTTTAAACACATTGATAATATGTTTTTTAATACGGTTTTTTTTGTCAATATTATATATTAATAATTATTTAAAAACAAAATTAAATCACTTTTTTTTTTTCAGAACAAACTTACAGTTGAACAAATCTTATTCTTCTTTCACCAAAAGTATTAGGAATTATCTGTTTTCAAATATATATTTTAAGAACGAATAGGTAACAGTGGCGTAATTAAGAGGAGCAGCAACAGAACAACTGCCTTACGATTAATTTTTATTTTTTGCCATTCGCATGAATAATTGTACATTTTTTACTTAAGGGTTAATTGTAAACAAACATTTTTTCAATATTCAATGATTTATCAAAGGCTGTTTCTCCCAACTCTAACTCCCCCCCCAACCATTGTAAGTACAAATAAATTTTAAAATATCTAGATGATAAATAAGAGATCATTATCTAAAATAATGATATTATCTAGATGAAGATAAATAATCAACAAATTTGTATCTAAAATATTTTATTTTATATATTTTATATGATAATAATTAGATAATTGATAATTTAACCCTAACTTAAAACTGTTATAACTCATGAACCGAGAATTCGATATTAGTGTTATGCAACATTTTGTGAAAAAAAATATTCTATATTTGAATCTGTTTTTAAATGAGGGTTGTCATTAAAAAGTTCTAAATGTATACGCATTTCAGGTACATGAATAAAGGGTGAACAATTTAAAATAATTTTAAATAAAGCTCTAATAATTCCATAATGATTAAAAAAAAAAAAATAATAATCTAATTTTATTCTCTTAAAAGCATCCGAGAAAATCGTCGGTTCGTAATAAATGTGTCAATCCTGTGTATACCAGCAATAAGTACCAGCTATTTAATAACATTTACCGTATCGAAATAATCAAGTTGGGTACAGGAATAATATATGCTTACACTTTCACGAGGCACAAAAAAAAAAAAAAAAAACTAAAATCGATTTTAGTAAACACAAAACAAATTCGATTAAGAAAAACTCATAGAAACCCTTTGAAACGTAATGCTCGGGTATTATGTTATTAAACCCTTACACAGACTCACGCGTGCTTAACGCAAAATTTTACATATACCGTATCTAACCACGTGCTATAATATAATTGTGTTTTGTTTAAAGCCAATCTACAAATTAACGTGACTTCAAATAAGTATGTTAATATTATATTATTTTGAAACCATTGCATATGTATATATTTCTTATATGATCAGCTTCGGGCGATACACAAAATAACGGTTATCAAATAGGAACTCGTGTGTTTCTGAAATCTATACAATATCTATAATCAGTACCAGTCCCAGGTATTGCGAGGTCCTGGGCAAAATACTCTTACGAGTTCTAAATGTATAGATTTTCGGTTGGAGGAGGGGTGCATACTCCATCCGGCTTTTCGAAAATAAATACATTAAATATTAAAAGGCTTAAAGCGATCGTATGAAAAAAAGTTACTATTATAAACTAGTTATCCTCTATACAAATTCTACGGGGTTGTTTATGCCTAAATGTTTTACACATTAGAGTTTTGAACCTTATTCATTCGTTGATTATAACTAACATAAAAAACATATATAACCTATAAAAAAATAAAATAAAATACTTATAAAGAAAAAAACGTTGTCATAATATTTTCAAACAAATTACAGAAATTGTTAATCGTGTCTGTTTATTTATTAATCAAACATAAATTTGAATAAAAAGTATAATATTTAAAATTTGAAATTATAATACAAATTTTGTTAATTGAAATATTGGTTTTTTTAATTTTTTCGTAGCGAAGTCACTTATAATATTTGGTGATCAATATTGGCACATGGTTAAAACCGAAAAATATTTTACTTGGCGATTTTTTGATGTGAAGCCTTTCATGAAGCGTGATGCCTCTACAAATTTCCAGTCTCCTCTACCCTTTCCCCATAGATATGTGTACCAAGTAAAATAATCTAAACTTTTTGAAATTTGAGAAATAATTAGTTTGAACTTTAAAAAGTACCTACGCACACGTTCGCAGTCTTTTATACAACTTAAAAAATTGTTTTTTCTCTCTTTTATAACTTTATATATTATTATATAATAACGGACGGTATCGTATATTATATTTTCAACAATTCCTTTTTTGACCAAGCTATAATTTATAATTTACAATCATATAAAGTTTTAAAGAGCACTGTGGTGTAGTAAAATATTGATACTTGGAAATTTATTCTGTGGCCTTTCATACTTTTCAACAAAAATCGTAGTAAATGCTCATAAATATAATAATAAAATCCGTTTAATGTTCAATATTATGTCTATACAAAATGTCCGTAGGCAATAATAATACATAAGAATTTAAATAATATTTATAAGTGTATTTAAAGATTTTTTTTATTGAATTTTAAATATTTTTGATGCTTTATAGAGAACTTTTTTTAAATTTTCCAATGGGTTTTTAAAATAACTGGGAAATATCAGGATCAAAATTATAGGAAAAACGGGAAAGTTTACGGAAATAATGGTATAATAATTTTAAATTTTGTTTTTTTGTTTTAATTTTGTTAAAAATATCAATGTGGATTTGAAATTTTGATAGAAAACTTATAATGACTCTCTCAAGACGTAATATCTTTGAGCCATTTATAAGCATTTCACATGTTCTAGTGTTTTTACGTATTTTTTTTTTTTGGTACGTATTATATATGGATAAAATTGTTTGACCTAATTGAAATACTTGAAAATTTAACACAAGGTTCATTATAAGTTTTACTTAATGGTAAAAAGAAAAATTTAATGTAATTCTAGAAGTTTCTTTTGTTTATGATCATTTTTTTCCGATCAAATTTTAATGAAAATCTTAAATACATTTATTCATATTTTGAATATACTCAAAATCAATATAAGTAACTGAACTTTTCTTAGAATCGTATTTCGTTTGCAATGATTTATCGTTGCTTAGATGACTTTATGTTTTTTACTTTTTTGATTTCCCACCTACAACAGTGGCGCACTCAATAGGCAAAAAGTTTGTATTATAAATAAAACTATAAATAAACATAAAACATCATATATAGGTTCACTATAATGACTAAACAGTTTAATACTTTATTTAATATTTCGATATATATTCACATATTATTGATCCTTTAAGTATTTTGCAGTGTATGTATTAATTAATACGGTGTACATATAAAGTTTAAAATTTTTTTTAAAAAACGCTTGTTTTATTATAAGTTTATAAAATATATAATTTCTGTACAATATGAAAAATTAAAATAATAGAATTTATAACATTGACACGTGTAAAGAATATATTTTTTTCTCAGAGGAATTGATTTAGTTGCTTTGTATAAGTTAATTAAAATCGTTCAGTGAGAAACGAGACTTTGGAAAACTCGAATAATACGTATTTTACGAGTATCCCGGAAAACTTATATTAAATTTTTTATTCCGAATTCTCGTAGACATAATTTTAAGTACGGTAATCTATGTACGTATACAATAATATTTATGTAGAATTATTTATTAACAGTATGTATCACCGTCCTAGGTGAAAAATAAGGATGGAAGGGTACATAAATATTTTAAATTTATATCTGTATGCAACGAAATATTATTGCTAACTAAATTTGATTTTGAGCGGAGTTCGATTTAACATGTTTTAAAATGATTACAAAAAAAAATATTATAATATTAGCTAAAATGGTTTTATTACCACTAATCACAACTTATAAGTGACATCTTATTAAAATTTCAACTATTTTTACTAAGTGACTGTTTATCATGAACAAGGAATTCTCTTGAGGATTTTAAACGAATTTGATTTCTGTTTTTTTTTTTCATCATAGTGAAATCGGTTAAGCTTTATTTTAAAATCATTTTTTATTTCATCCCTACTTTAAATACCTTAAATAAGTACATAATTTTGATTTTTAAATACAAACCCCTATTTTTGAACACAAATTTAAATATAGTATATTTTTCTAGAAATTTTGATATGCATAACACTAATATTAGATAAACTGTTTATGAATTATAACAGTAAAAGTTTAGAAGGAGAGTTCGTATTTGAAAAACAAAAGTATATACTTGTTTTAGGAGTATACATTAGGAGTAAAAAATTAAAAATGGTTTTAAAATAAAGCTTAACTTGTTTCACAATGATTAAAAAAAAAAAGCTGATACTAGGGATGGGAGTGGTCACTGTTGTAGGTGAGAAGTTCAGAAGGTAGGATACATAAGGTTATTTCATTTATATCTGTAAGCAATGATAAACCATTGCTTAACGAAAGACGATTCAGAGTGCAGTTTGGTAATACATAATTTTTGCGATGTTCGTTTAAATTTAATTTCAAAACGCTTATGAAAAAAAATAGTCATCTGATGATTTTGGAAATTTTACAACGTCTAGATAAGTCCAATATAAGAGCTATTACCAAGTTTCAAGTCTCTACGTGTATTTATAATTGAATTACAGCAAAAAACTCCCAAAAATTAAAATTTCTTAAATGCTCAAAAGTTTTGGCAATGGTACCGTAAGCAAGTAAATCTCAAAGGCAACAAAAAAGATGTCTTGTGAATTTTCGATTAAATCATTTTTTCTGATAGAAAAAGTCATCCGTGTTTTTATAAAATATTGAAATCGTGAAAATCAAAAATGACCTCTCTAGAGTACCATCTAGACAACTTGAGCTTTCAGAAAAGTTGCTACAAGTAAAAATCGGAGCAAGTTTATTAAGAAATAACGTGTCCACAGATTAGAACAAAGAAAAAAATACAAAACATCTTAGTAAAACCAATAGTTCCCTCGATAAGCTCGGAATCCAAAAACAGAAATCAAATTCACTTAAAATCCTCCGAGAAAATTACTGAATCGTGATAAAAAATCACCCTGTATTATGGCTTAACTATTTGGATCCACATAAGAACTAAAAATGCCAAATATCTATAAATAACACAAAAATGTCTCAAAAGTTTCCAAAATTGTACGTTTAAAAAATAATTTTTATAAGTAGTCTATGAAAATATTAGGTTAAACAATATTCGATATCGATATAATAATATAACATTTATATTGGGTATTAATTTTGTATTTTGTACTATTATTATTTTCCTAAGGTGATCTTATCTATAACACAAAAAATCACAAAATATCAAAAAAAAAAAAATAGTAATAATAATAATGGAACAACGAAAACAACATGCACTAACTATTTAAGTTGATTGTAATGCAATAACGTGTTATTTTTAAATATTATACAAATGCTTTTACATAGAACTTTTATTTTATATAATACCTTACCATATTTTCTTGTTGAACTTTGTACATTCAAGATAATATGATGTTACATAGTAAAAAACTGCATTTTTACGTGTTGGAAAAATGTAAAAAGCGATATAACTGAAAATCGTATTCCTTGAGTACACCTAATACACACAATATCAGTGTGTATAAATCAGTTAGTGACAGTGCGATATTATCGTAATTTATTTTTTCGCCCATTTTGCAATATTATTAATATTAGCGCACTGTGCTCAGTTTATGACGATTACGTTAAATTCTACAGATAATGCGTTGCTGCAAGATAATAATGTTATTATTTACTATCCGCCGAAATATCACACACACTATAATATTATAATACAATGTGTATCTAGGATTAAAGCTCGGGCCGGTTCGTATTGTTCTAGAACGGTGACAGGTGTAAATAAATTATAGCACGTTTAAGATTATAATAATATTATTATATTATAGTATATTAATAGCGTGATTAAAGCGTTATTAATATCGCGCGAGATGTTATCGTCATTTGGATTTCGGGTACACTGATGGCGAGGAAAAACAACAAACTCATCTACGATTTCGAATGTTCCGGGGTGCGGGGGGATTGGAGGTGAAACATAACCTCGCGTGTTCTCGTCTTGGGACGCTTTTTAATTACATATTGCGCATAAGTAGACGTTAGTCGCAGTGCAGTCGCCCGCCCGACCTTTGTATTTCGCGCGCAACATCGCCGAAACGCTCTACCGCACCGCAGTTATAGGAATTTACAAGCGGTGGCTTGGCGAAACCGTGCAGGCCGCCGTAAACGTATTTCAGAGTGGCCCCCTCTATCCAAACACTTAGGTACTTATACACGGTCACGAGAAATTTATTGCCATTTTTTATATGCATTAGTCGCTATAATATATAATATGATACCGCAGGCCACAGCAGGACTTGTTTAGTTTTCTCACATTAAAATCGAACTTCTCGCGAAATGGCCCCGTTATTGGAATCGTGAAAACATGTCAAACGACATTTTAGATTCTGAGTAATTCTTTTAGTTCTTTTGGTCAGTAAACAACTTGTCTAGCAGAAATCAAGATCCGATCGTAAAATTAATAGGAACTTTTTTATAGCATTTTTGATCTATCTGGTACATTGGGATCATCTTTTTGATTTTTCATCGTGCAGTTTTCATAAAAAATGAAAAAACTGGAAATTGTTTATATAATTGTTGTTGATTTGGGTAATGGTTGGTAACAAGGGAAAATATACGACTTAGAGTACTCTGATAAAAATAGTGTTTTACATTAACAACGGTTCATCGTTAAGTACAGATATAAATAAAATTACCTACACTATATAGTAGGTATATATTATCCTCACTTCCAACTTCTCTCCTAAAATATTGGCACGCCCATTAGAAGTACCTATCAGTCATTTACTGTTTTGAATGTTTCTTAGTTAAACGATGGATCAATGGAACGTTTCTACTTGCTCTATAATAGGCACCCATTGGTAAATTTTGAGTTTTTATTTTCTCTTAGCTCAAATATTATTAACAATTACTAGCTGCCCTATGTAAAATTCGAGACGCGTATGCTTGTAAACAATTATTATACTTATATACTACTATTTTTATTGTAAGTAATTATTATTGGCTTACAAAATCAATTTTTTTTTTACGATGTTTAAAGGGGTTGAAATAAAATTCAGTATATTCAGTATCTATCTATTATGTTTCTCGATTATCTTAATATTGACTCCCGAAAAAAATGACCCATTTTAAAATCAATGTAAGAGGATTAAAGCGAAAAAATTCTCGCCTAACCTAATCTAACCAAACCCTCGTAAAATTAATAAAACAGATCATTTATATTAAGAAAAAAAGAATTCAACAACCGTATAGTGATGCTATAACCTTATTCTATACACGATTGTTTAATATGTGTACTCGTATACATTTAATGTACACGTATATAAATTTAAATATAAAATATTTTCTAAAAAAGAGTGTTATTCGATACGTTATAAATAAATAAGATTTCGCCTTAATATTTTCTTTATTTACTTGACGCTTTTGTGCCAATTTTCCTCATCGCTTAGTCAAAAAATATTTTTATTAACTAGGGAATTGGTACGGTTTTTTTTTTTTTTTTACAAATCAAACTATTTGGAAGTGAAAAAGTTGGGGGTACATTTTTCAGCTGTTGTGTAATACACGTTATTACCATATTCCTTACGTAACTTCAACAAGATTTTAATTAGAATTATTGGTTTCTCTTGATTCGTACCATTTAATAATACGTTTTATAATTTAATTGTTTGACCGAAAGGATATGGGCGGTGACCGGTGAAATTTCGTGAATAGCCCGAACACCCGTTTTAGCTGGTCCGGAGTCGAATAAAAAGTAATTTTCGGATCGGTTTTACCGCGGCCGTACACGCGCGGTGCACATGTGGCGCCGCACGTTTGCCGTTTCCATCATCGGTAAACCATTAGACGCCGGCGTTTCGTTTGAGACCGGAGGGGCTTGCGGCGCGTTTGGAGTGTATAACGAGATTTATTGAACGAGCCGGATACGAAAATGAAAAAAAAAAAAAAATCCAAACCAAACCAACCAACGACGACATTGGATAGAGGTGATTTTTCTTGTGGGACCGCTTTTGTTTTTTTTTTTTGCGCGCGTGTGTTTGCGCATACGATATAAATTTTATTTTGTTTACGTCTCACCCCACGCTTTGCCAAACGTGCTATTTTTATTTATTTATTTTTTTTTACTAAACGTCACCGACAACTTGGAGCGATCAGCGTTGGTGAATTTCCCGTCTGGTCCTCCCCCCCCCCTTCTCGTATTTCCGGTTTAAGCATAAATACGTCCTACGAGTTCGCGTACTTATATAAAAACACGGGGCTGTAGATTTATATATTGCACTATGTTTCAAACCCGGTCACTTGTCTGGGGTATCTCCTTCATTTGATATGCAATTTTGTTTTATACAGGTAAACTCATCCAACAGTTTGCTGCCTTCTTTTACTACAAGGTTTTTACATGGTTGCAATGTTGCCAAAACTTTATTATACAGTATTTTACTACTGGATAATCAGTAACCGTAGATTGTATAGTTTATACCTAGGTACAGTACAAATACCAAAGAGAGTATACGTAATTTTAGTTGTTTGCTGATTCTGGCAACTTAGTTATCAAACAATATTGAAGTTGCAATATTATCCAAACAGTATGTTTGCTAAACTAGTAACCACGGTTGCTCAAAACTTCATAGCCAAAACACGTTTATACGTGTTATCGACTAGATAACATTTTATTTTATTTTCGAAAAATGTTATTCTTGAGACTCGGTGCAAGATTTTTAGTAGAAAAATAAAATCGAAAATACTGTAACCGCGTGATGAATTCTGATTGGTTGGCCTAATAATTATCAGTGTTATCTATATTTACGGATTGCCGTGTATTGTATCTTACAATGAACTACCATATTATAGTCCTATTGTATACTGCCATACACACTGGATAGAGCTACAGCGTATATCACGCGTAGTATGTGCTTGAAGCCGACCTATTCGGTCGCGATTTATTTATTGCGTACGCGTCAGAAACGAAATAGATGGCGCGGGACGGAGTAGAAATTACAATCATTGTTTGTGCGTGTGTAGTGTTTACGTAATTGCGGTTATGTACCTATTACCACACGCACTTCATGTTTTGCGCACACGCAGTGATGACATCGGGGCCCAGTTGCTATATTTCAATATTTATCTATGTCTCTAGTATCGAGTGTATCAATATACTAATTTTATTTTTATTTTTTTTTCTCGACCAGCGGTCCACACTACGCGGCTCTTATACCAAAACGTCTAAAACTGAATTGTACATTGTACACTTTTAAAGAGCAAATAAAGTAAAATACCACGCAACCATACCTTTTATTTGTCTCATCTTCTAATTCTTGTTTGTTTGTCGATTTCTAACTTTAACTGAATTACCAGTTTGACAGACAATTAGGCTGCTAGATTTTATTTTCAAAAAACTACGCTAGCGAAAACGATTTTTTTCAGATCGATATCGCAACGGAAAAATCCGAATCGATTTACTATGCGCGGCTCACAAGCAATTTTCGAAAATTCTATCCGGCAGTTTTCGGAATCCTAACGGTGACCGCTGATCGCGACCGTCTTTGCGGGTGGATCGTGCAACGAGCGGCGGATCCAGAACCGGGCCCAGTGCATGGTAATAATACGCGGTCGGCGGACGGAAGCGCTTTCGTCATGGTCAGAAGACGTGCCCGACCCGAGACCTCGCGCGTCACCGGAGACGCCTCTCTCTGCAGCTCACGTCGCAGGGCGCGGACGGACGACCCGGTCAACCGGACGCGGCGATATTGTTTCTTTCCGGCGGCGGTGACGGTGGCGGTCGGTGCCGCCGAGTCATCCATCACGGGCGCAATACGGTGAAATCGAATCGAGTGTCGATGCCCGCCGAACGGATATAATAAATCGGAAACGGCGCCCCCCGTGCACCCCGGCCCCGGCCCCCTACCCCGTACCCCCTCCCACACCTCCCCGAGCGATGTGTGTTTCCGCGAGTAAAATATTATAACACGTTTCCGGACGTTGCGCCGTTTTTCACGGCACCGTTTTGTACGGCCGCCGATTTTCCAGACGCTGACGTTTTAACGTTTTATAATATGCCGGCACGTAGCGCACGGGCAGCGGCCCGTGTAGACGTACCTGCGCCTATATACGCCGCCTACCTGTTTTCGAATTCAATTTATATTTGCCGAGCGAGCCCCGGGTACGCGAACAATCAAAAATAAATAACGTAAATCTACTATACGCGGCGGCGGTAGGTACACGTATGTATACAACACGGCCCCGTGATACGCGCGCCGTACGCCTTTTTCTCCGCCGCTAAAGTATGTTGTTGTTATTATTATTGTTATATGTTAACGAAATAATAACATTTGAGTGATAAAAAAAAAAAAAATTAAAATTAAAAAAAAAAAAAAAAACCCTTGTGTAAATAAATGAAACTCGGCAAACAGCACGCATGCAGTTTAATTACATAAAAGGTTTGTTTTTTCCGGGGAAATTAGTACGATATTGAAGACAAGCTCGAATGACTCCACGCGTACCTACCACGTGTAATATATATACGTACACCGGAATAAGTGATTAGACAGCTGCTGAGGTAGGTGAGCAAGATGAATGTAATTTAATAAAATATATATTACGAGGAAAAAAAAACTATGACGTTAACCGAACGAAATTTAATACGATTATTTTCGCTTATTAAAAAAAAAAATATGTGTAGGTAGGTATTAAAATATACTTTTCGTAGATAATAACATCAGGAACCAGAATATTATCAGAGAATATAATATTATGTTGTTTTTAAGCAGTGTCGTTCATTAGGCAGGGCTAGCAGGGCCCGTGTCTTGAGTTTTCACCGCGGTTGGATAGACCCCGCACTTTTATAGATGCAGTTCAAGCTTATAGAAAAGTTCAAAAGGTCGAAAAAAATGCATTAAGGAGCCCCGATCATATCTCTATAAGTTTTCCACCGTTAAACACACTATTTAGACATGCGCATGATGTGCAATTTTAGACCCCACAATTTGTGTTTGCCCCGAGTACCGTAATTCATTAGGACGGCTCTGTTCCTATTTGATAATACGATGCCAGTTAGATTATTACTGACCACTAGACGAGGGAATTTTTTAAATTAGACCCCCCCCCCTACAATAGAACCTGCCACAAATTAAATAAAAACCTGAACATACAGATCGTTTATTTAATTTGGAATTTGATATAGAAAGCAATTAACGATATTTTTGAGAATATAACTGTGCGGAACCTCCCTTGAGAAATGTCTGGTTGCGCAAATATTACCGAATACACTGTTTATAAATTAATAATACGAAAACTACTGCATTCGAGTTGGGTAGCCGACTTTCGTGGTTTTGACAGGTATAGTACACTAGTTGAATCCAAACTTTTACAAGCATTACAAGACAGTTTTCTTCACATTTGTACAGACTTAAGAAGTGAAGAATATCTATGTGAATTATATCCTATAAAACACAGGTTTTAAAATGTTTTGTTTCACCAGGTTAATAATTTTAATATTTTGATAAAAATGTATACGCGATGCATTACTGAGGCGTTCAATAAATGTAATAATAATTTTAATATAATACATATATTAACGTCCCAACAAAATCGTAAAATCTAATTATTATGTTTAAAATTTGATGAAACAACATTTTACTTTTACTTTATCCATATAAATACGCCACGGACGTTAATGATATAAAATTAAGAGGGCGTGATACCTAAATGTGCTGTCTCCGTCTGACAAACGTATGACAAAGCGAATTCGGGTTCAGCTGGGACAACTTTGTTAATTATCTATATTATTAAAGTTAAATAACCTATTAACAAACTAGGTAAGAACACTGTTTGTGTAGCCACATAGATGTTATTAAATATTTTAATTTTTAAATTGTGGTAATTCATATAAACATATATTAATCTCGCTCAAAAACTGAAATGTTGAAAACAGAATAATATAACACTCTAATATTAAAAACTAAAGGCGGGAAGTTGTCCCAGCTGAGCGCAGAATATTTGCTATGTCGTACGTTTGTAAGACAAAGACAACGCATGAAGGTTATCACGTCCCTTTAATACACGTAGCAAGACGGCTAAAGACACTCGGGAACTATTTTCGTACGAGTTTCAAATAAGTTTATTGCGTTTGAAATCGTGCTTGGAACGTATACACAGATGTGATACGGATATACAATAAGTACCTATAATAATAATATGATAAGTGCCGTATTGTGGACCGAACTAGTGTACCTATATACTACCTAAATAAACTTATTCGGACCCGATTAGTGTACTATCTGTGTGAAAACCCGGGACCTAACTCGTGTAGAATTTTTATCGCGGAATCCAACTATACAGGATAATCAACTTCTCATGAACCAACGATTTTTCCGAAGAGAATTTGATTTATGTTTTAACACTATTTACAATTATTCACTCTTACTCCTTATATCATCTGAAATGGATATACCATTTGGATAAATTTAATATTCATTTTTAGATGATAAATTCTTAACCCTATAAACCTTATAACTATAAACTTTAAATTATACCTCATAAACGGAAAATCTTATTTCCATCAAAATGCATAGAAAAAAAAATCATCTATGTTCGAAATGAGGGCTGCTATTTGAAAATTCAAAGTACATATTTTTTTCAAGTATAAAGTGTAAGGATTAAAAATTGAAAATATTGTTAAAACAAAGCTTAAACGATTCTGAGAAAACATTTTGGGTAGATACTTTATTTCACGTAAAAACTGAATTAACAATTTAGAAATTATTTGTGTTAGTTAAAAATCAAATTGCTTATATGAGTATTATATACCTGGCATACTTAAACCGGGCTCCCGATTGTATATATATTTTAGAAGTAATTGATTTTGCGAAATATGTTCATCTTGAGGTCACTTGTACCATCGTCGTCAAACATTTTTTGGAACGTGAGAGTAGGAGTGAGTGAACGCGCAAATAAAATGGCGGAACTTCATGCAGTCGTTCTATGAATAAATGTCGAACTCATATGTCATTTGAGGGGAATTCGTGGAATTATTCAGAAGTTTATATAACCGGTCGATTCGACGCTTTCAAACATTTGTCGTATACTTGTAATAGGCACTCGACGTAATCCGATCGCATACAATTTGTAATAATAAGCGCGAGGAATACACGAATACGGATTGCTTGTGGCGGAAAAAATTTAACGGCATTTGGTTATTTCGAACCAATGTCAAAAATATTATTTGGTGACGGAACGTATTTGGTTTAATAAATACATCAATACATTTGGCAAAAAAATAAACAAGAAAAAGATTACACGACGACGCGTTTGATGGTTTATTTATGAACGGAGAGATTGAAAACGAACAGCACCGACGGTCAAATAATTAATAAACTGTTGGACATTGTCGGCGTTTTATCGTAAATGTCATAGTAAGTAGCGGTTCCCGCAAGGGGGTGCCGGTGAGGGCCATAGCCCCCCCCCCGCTATTTTAGTTAATATTAAATATTAATTGTTTTATTACTTGCATGGCTTAAATATTTAAGCCATGATAACTTATAAGTTGTATGAAAATAGATTTTACTATTGACTTTGCCCCTCCCCCAGTTTATATTTCTGCGGACGCCCTTGGACGGCGGTAAGTCGTTCGACCAACCAGGAGAATCGCACGACTAAACACATCGTAAAGTTGGTAAAACTGAGTCACCGTCGGCCCGGAACTACGGCCTGTACGACACTGGTCACACCGGTTTAATATTTTTAATTTTTATTGTTATTTCGGGCAAGGGAACGCTCGTTAAATTGTTTTCGTCAGTTAGCCGTTGCGTGTACAGGTAATAAATTATGATGTATCTTTTGGTGTTTTTGAAGTAGGTACACGGTTTCTTTATCTTGTTCCACTCTAAGCATGCTGACCAATATTATGTAAGAACATAAATGGAATAAAGTGTAGATGCAATGAACGTTCGCCAAGAAGGCAAGAAACAGCAACCTGGGTGACGGCGTCGTCGATCTATTATCAATGGAGTATCTATAACTTTCCGGTGGAATTTCAAAAAAAAATAAAATAATGCACGCAGGTGCATTATTACCTACAAGATATTTTTATTTAGATGTACACAGTGGGTACACAATAATATTATGTTTATTTGTTAATTGTTTTACAATAGTTTTTTGACACGTCGCGCGTCGTGCAATATTGCAGTACAGTTTCTGGGACATTTTTCGTTTTCTTATAAAAACTTCATGCAACGTATATATATAAATGGATGTAAATAAAATGGGAAGACGAGGGCTCAGGAAGACTTAGCATTAAACACTCCCTGAGCAATCTAAAGCCTTAGGTACCGATAATATTTGAACTAATTTAGCCTTTAATAATACTTATGTTTAAAATCGATTGGGCTCAAACTCTATGCATTTTCAGAATATTTAATTCCATAGTATTATATTATTACGGGTTGTGACGGTGTAAGCAATTTATTGTCGAGTGCAATTTTCGCTTATTGTAAAACGATAACGTCGCCGTTCACGATAATGTTGCGGTTTTCCCGAGAGATTATAGTAAAGTGTCGAACGGTAGGTATTCTTAGTACATACATGTTGATACCTATGTAATGACAGAATTGTTTTGTTCCTTCTACAAACTTGAAAATAATAGTGATATTATGCTGTTACAAAAAAAAAAAACCAAAACAAATTGTTTGCAACACTATCAACTGAACTGAACTCAGAATCGTTTTTTTCTTAGCACTGGTTTATCGTTGCTTACAGATATACATTAAATTCCCGTCTGTAACCTACCTTACCAAATTCCCACCCACAAAAGGGGCTGCACCCATGTGCAAAGTATGTCCATTTTTTTGTTTAATATTGTGCCTATTTTCTTATTTTCCCTACGTTTTCTTGATTTTTCCCATTAAAAAATTCAAAAAGGATCTCTCTTAAGTACTTCTCCGATCTTATTTCTTTTCAGATAAAGTGCTGTCATTGAAAACCGGAGCAAAATTACTGGTAGAAAAGTTGTCTCCGAAAAAAAAATAAATATCATTGTAAAACCGATACATTCCTCATTTCATTTAGTATCTAAAATTAATTGTTTAGCAAATCTTTTGAACTTTTTAATACAGATACTATTCAATATTATAATATAATACCTACCATTATATACAAATTGAAAATAATACATTTCGTAAATTTGTCTATTTTTCCTACGTTTTTCCCGTTTTCTTATTTATTATTAAAACCATTGGAAAAATCTAAAAACTATCTCCCTAAAGTACCACTCCAGTCCAATTTCCTTTCAGAAAAAATTCTTAACTGAACATCACATCAGGGCATAATATTATTTCTGATAAAAAAATTGTTTACAAAAAAAAAAAATAAACACCATTGTAAACCTAATACATTCCTTGCTTCACTCAGAATCTAAAATACTTATACAAATTATATTTTTTCATAAACAGTTGTTTTTAAACTTTTTCTTCAAATTTTAATTATACACATTATTTTAAACCATTTTTCCAATCTACTATACAAAGGAGACGTAACAGAAATGTGGTATTAATGTAAAATGTGTATTCAATTAGGTAAAAATAAATTTACATATATAACAACATTTAAGATAACTAATAGTATTTTTTAAAGTGAGTGGATGTGTTTGTACCATCTGTTAAATTATTCTATGTTATAATATGTCAGGTTACTTGGGTATAGTACCTACTTGGACTGATGACCTCCCGGGTGTTTAAACTACTCGTCATCATAATATCTTCTTAAATAATTGAGTTCTCGTTAAATATGCCAGTTGAGATATTAAAAAAAAAAAGTCATAATATGATACAATAATAAAATAAAAAATAAATCATATAGTTAAAAATATAACAGTGGGTAGATTCTCGTAAGTAGGTGTGCACTTGAATTATAAATTAAATTGCACAGTAAAATGAACAATTCATTTTGATACGCCCGATTAAAAATGCTGATGGTTTGTATTAACTGCATAATAATAAATTATAACGTTTTTCGTTTACTTACATCCATTTTTTAATTTTGCCTATTCTGCAGTATGTTAGATTAGAAGATAACAGAAAAAGTATAGGAAAAAACTACCTATTTTTAAGAACTACAGAGAATAGATAAGTTTAATAAGGTAATGGCCAAATCGACGAAACTTTTCTATTGGTCGACGCGATATTTATATTAATTATTGTGTTGTCATGTCTATGTTCAATGCAAAAGCAAATTTTTGCACGCGATAAATAAGAATTTATGTATTTTATTCAAGTTTTAAATATTTATATTTACACAAAACATGGCGGCTATCTAATGAGTAGGTCAAAGGCCAGCACTATCTTATGTATCGATATAGTCACCATAAAAAAAATACTCCAGAGAGAATATATTATGTTTTTTTAGTTAACATTTCTGGTATATTTATAATATTTTGGTATAAAAAGATGTGTATGGATTTTTAGATTTTAGTCGACGTTTAAAAGGTCTGTTTTATCTGTATATGGCAGTAACGTTGATTGTTGATTTTGATTTATATGTACCATCTGCCTATTGTTTAATTAAAAGGTATTATTTTCGAGAAATTGTTTGTTTATTTGTACAATTGTATAAAACACTAAATCGATCATTTATTTATATATTAAAAACATCCTTACCGTTAGAAGTAGCATTGTTGATAAAAGATAAAGTCAACAGCAAACACACTGTTTCCGCACATGAAAAATGCATGCTGATTCTGGATACACCTATAACAAAATTATGACTTCAATGAGTTTTAATTTATTTATATTTAGAAATTTAATTATTACAACGGCAACATATTAATGTTACAACAGTAATATTCTTTGGGCTATTCAATTAAAGTATACTCGTTGTTGTTTTTAAATCTAGATAGTGAGTGAGAATTTTTTTTTTCTGTATAGTTTTCTTAATACGTAATGGAGCAAAATCCGGAAAAACGTAGGAAAAACAAGAAATTCTACGGAAATAACGACTTCATTATTTTTAAATTGTTTTTTTTTTGCTTTGTTGTAATTCGATTAAAAATATCTGAAATTTGTACATAATTAATTATATTCGATTTTTCTACAAGTGGTTTTATAGCCATGAATATTAAAATATTCTGGTGATTCGATCTATTTATAAGCATTTTACTTTAAGCCGTTTTAATTTGGTAGGTACCATGTGGACAAAATTGCTTGACAAAAAGAAATCCTTGAAAATTTAATTCAAACATTATTAAAGGTTAAGCTTAAGTTGTAAAAAAAAAGTTCAGCATAATGCGTACATTTTTTTTATAATAATTTTAAGATTAAATTTTGATAAAAATCATGAAAATTGTGAAATTTCAAAACATGTAGAATATACCAGAGTCATATTTCGTTAGAAATGCTTTATCGTTTCGATATAAATTAAATAATTGTATGTATCTTTAATTCTCAATATTCCACCTACAAGAGTGACGCACACATCAGCTTTTTTAAAACAATAATAATAATAATAATGTTTCTTGGATCATTTAAAATTTTTAAAAGTAGTTACGTGATACGTCGACTCTTTCATGCGTATTTTTTTAATAAATCTTATTTACCAGAAAAGCTTTTATCTTTATCCATCTTTACAAATTTACTTTATATATATTTTGTTTTCATTTTTTGATTGTCATACTGAAATCCGCATCAAAGACACGTTCAAGTTAGATATGGTTTAAAAGTTTATTATTATTATAAACTCATTGGCGTGCATAATTACATAAATTATACTCCATGTTCAATGTTCGAACATGGAGTAAACGTTTTAATTAAAACATGTATAAACGAATTCTGATATTTATATTTTATATAAAATATATAAGCATACAGTTTTACAAAATAAAATGAAAAAAAATAGCAAAATTATATATTTATGCTTCGAGTTAAATCTAATATCTGAATTACCAAATAAATCATTGATATACGTTCAAATTAAATTCCTGTCGAATCACGCCTAAATATGATTTAATTTAGCTTAGACTATATTAATGACAAGTGAAATATTGTCCTTTCAAACACCAAACACCGCGGCATTTTATTAATTTATCAAATCCACAGAAATTCATTCATGACCACTAATTCAAAAAACTAAGCGGGAACGTTCTTATTATACAGTGTAGCCATTCAACTCGTGTATTTCATTAATATGGACTATGAAGTATATTTGACAAACTCATTTAGGTACTTTTAATTAAAAATGTGTTCGTACAATTTTTAATAATGTTTTTGTAAAGATATGATATGCATTCTACACCAATGTTCATAGTACTTTTTTTGTTTACAGCTTTAATGTAAATTAATTTTTGAAATATAATTTATTAAACACAATGTAATAAAACTACCTATTGAAAGACCTATTTACTATTTTAATTGCTTCCAACGAAATATTTAACAAATGATGTCCAAACGAAAAGATACGAAACAATATTAAATAGATGAAGTAAACAGACCTTCGAAAGTTATTCACAAAGATCATAGTAAAAATTTTAACAATTCTTCTAATTTCCGATATTATTTTGTTTGATAAAATAATAAATTCATGCTTGTGAAAAAAGAGTATACTTTTAATAACGAAAATGAAACAATATGTATTGGTGATCAAAATTCATAATACATTTAATTTGTATTTTTAATGAATTATATAGCGACTAAAAGATCGTTTGTGATAAGCGAATAAATTAAGTATTACATGGTAAGTTAATCAACAAAAATAAAGTAAAATGTGGTTAAACTAGACTATAATTACTATGTATATATATTATAAACCTAATAGGACTAGTGGAACAATAATAGCCTACAAATGATCCTTAACTAGCCAAGTTAAGGCTAACAGTATTTTCAGTATGCAGTTAATACTGTTATACTGGTAATCAGAAAAAATGTTTGCCAAACAGTATGCTGTGAATACCGAGTAAACAATACATCAAAAAATGACTCTCATAAATTTATTATTATTAGTTTAATGAATTTATCTGTATTCTTTGAAACTTCGAAATTAAACAGTATAAAATACTATAACGCCTAGCAAAATTTCATATATCACCATAACTAATGGTACCTGTAGTGAAATATCTGTTCTATTTATATTTTATAGTTTTGGATTACACCTATTGCTCTAAACTCAACCAGAGTCTCAAACTCGCAATCATTAAAATGAATGCATTTATGGTCAAATTACACGCGAGACAAACTGCGGAGACAAAAATATTAGTGACAAGGTCCCTTAAGACATTTATAAATATTCCTCTTCTTATTTACTTAAGTTACCTAATCACGAAATTATATATTTTCTGTATTCAATTTAATTTTAGCAATATGTATGGTTTTCCAAAATTTCGGGTAAAATGACGTAATGCCTAGCGGTATAACGGTTTGAAACCAGGTAACCTAAGTAGCCATACAGTCCGGAAAATACGTTTTCAAATCGAATAAAAAGACATGAGACATGAGACATACAGACAATCAAATATTAAGAGAAAGAGAGCGTATACAAAATGCATGATTTCTAAACTTCTCGTTCCGTTAGATAAGTGCAAGATCAAAAATCGTGATGCTATCCACATAATACTATAAACTGTCGAAGCCTTACGAGTAATGATGTTTTTAAATTAATAATTTATCTATCTATTATTTAACCTGAAAGCCGTGTATATCGTAGTAAAGATTAAAAACCGAGTTTATATTTCAAACAAATGTACATTATAAAATAATAAAGAAAGATAAAAAGTCACTTAATTTTGGATGGTAATCTTCTATAGATTTATTCACCAAAGCAGAGTATACATTTGCGTTACCGGTTTAAATTAACTGATGACGTATACATTTCAAATCTAATCGTGAAAATTCATAATGTTCATTTAATATAATTTTTGCGAAAAAAACAAAAACTTTACAAAACATAGCGTAGTCAATTAATTATTCAATGTCGTAAATGGAGAGATAGTAAATATTTCGGTGAGAAACCCTGCATGGTAGATTAATCAGTCAATGTATGTTCTGTTGGGGGTAATAGAACAAGTTCCTTTATTTGCCTGAGATCAAAGTGTAAATTGATAAACAACGAGCAAATTCAGTAAATGTCATTGTAATGAAAAAAATATGAAGCGTAACGTAAAAAAACCTATTTTATCATTGAGGTATTATAAAAATGTACTAAGTATAGGTGTAACTAGAGGGGTGTTGGAGATCTTTAGCACTCCCAAGTTTAATATTAGCAGCCCCAAAAAAACCCAATAAGCTTTTTCATAGTACCGACTAAATATTTTATCCATGTGTTTCATAATTAATTGGCAGAACAAAATATAGATTTCCACAGACAATGCATGTAAGTATAAAAAATAATATTAAAATACTTATGATAAATTTGTGTATACAAATTTTTAAATTAAATAAGTAATTGCTTATTGTTTTAGTCGTGTAAAGGGAACTGCGGAAGCATAGCTCTCACGAGTCATTGATGTGTTCATAATTTTAGCGCCCTCAAAGCTGGTAATTTAGTTACGCCTATGGCACCAAGGTAGTGGTGAGAAAAATCCAGGTTTGCTCAAGTATGATAAGCCGGATTTTCGGAATCCGAAATCCGAAGTCACAAATGTATTTAAAATCTGAGTTTTAGATTTTGCATTCTTTTAGATAATTTGTATTAAATTCAAAAATTAATCATAAATACTCATTTATTGAATATACATATAATAGGAATATAATATAATAATATTATGAATTATCTGAAAATCATATAGTAATTTATTATAGTCACACTAAGCCATGTAGTATTAGACAATATCAGCAGTTTAGTAAATGTAAATAGGTAAGTTATTATATGTTTACATGAAATTAATAACTTTGTCGTATGCGTATAGGATAAATGATAACTTCAACGTTAACAACACAAAATAAAAATACAATTATTTGAAAAGTGGAACTTTAACAAAATTGTCCAGTAGTGATCGCGTCGCACGATCACAACAGAAGATCCCAATTTATTTACTCTTCCATATTTTTATAATACAAATCGTTTACGTCTACGTTCTACTAAAAATTGCTTGGCTAAAACATTTTTCTTATTTCTAATGATTATTTAATTATTGTGGTGTAAACACATAATGACCTAATTATTAATATTTACTAAGCTATTTACATTACCTAAAACTACATATTATAATCAAATAAAAATAAAATATTGTTGTAATATACGTTTTAGATTATGACCACAGTGAAGAATTAAGTACAAAAATGTATAAAATAGATTTTTAAAAAAAATCATAAGATCTAATTTTGAAATCTAAAATTAGAATTTTCGGAATATGATTGTATGAAACTTGTATTTTCGAACTTTGAAATCCGAAATCCGAATTTTCTGATTTTCGGACAGTCCGGATTTATGTCACATCCTTACTAAGCTTATATTATGTAGTTTTATAAATATAATTTATTTACCTTGTTGATAATATAGTTTTAAACTAATTTTAGGTATTAAATTTGAAATAAAATACAATGTATAGCATACCTACCAATCTATAATATACATGATAGGTAGCAAAAATGAAAAATGAGTCAAATTCAAAAAATAAAAACTCTGAACTCTATACTAAATTGTTTACGGAGTAAGCGACGTTGGTGTATTTGTAAGCCTTGCTGTCTATAAACGCACAAATAACAAGTCGTACATTCCGGGTTACGTTGGTACTTAAAACGAGATTTAATGTAGAGATGACTACATAGAAATTTATTACCTACAGTAGTTGACATTTATATTAACTCCCGGGTGCACTTACACCACTACGAAGTACAGGCGTTTTCACAACCTCTTGTCCTCTTTCAAATTTCTTTTATCGTGTTTCGTGAATGTCAAAAATGATAATATTTGTTTAATAATTCTTGTTATATTGTATTATTTATGATAAAAAAAAACGTTTTTCTTTTCTTTTTTTTTGTAATTGAGAACAAAATGCATTTCGATAAATAAATTCATCAACTTTTCTTTTTGTATCAATAAATAACCTTATAATTCAATTTCAAATAATTCATTTTTTAAAGAAACTTATCTCCTACAATTACGTGAATTACTCCGAATCGAATTTACTGTTTGACCAAAAATACGAAAAACGTTTTCATAACGATGCAAATTTAAATTTTTGCAATTCGTTTAACGATCGGTAAAATCCGTTTATTATAATTGTACCGCAACATTCGAACCGTATTATTTTTAATGAATTCGAAACCTTCGATTTTCCTTTAACAATTATCTAATAAATGACTGTAACAAAATAACGTCTAGTAATACGTCTACATTTTGAAACATGTGAAACGCGAAACGAAACCGTTTGGCTTTTAGAGAATATTCCAAGAAATTATGGTGAGTCTTGTATTAATTGTCTGGACATGAATATTAATTTTACAACCGTAGAGTTATACATACTGCGTAATATTGCATACATTGTAAATTTATATCAGCACATAATATCAACTCCCTTAATCTAATGCACATTAATGATTCAATTATTACATAATTTTTATCGTCCGCAACGTTCCAATATTATTATATTGTCAGGTGAATGTAAAAAACAAAACAAAAAGGTTTAAACGCAATAAATAAATTAAAATAATCTGACTATTTTCGCTGCCGTATCGGTTAAGGCTTTTTAGTAATCATACCTATTCTTTGGGTGGGAATTGAACCGTCGCACTTAATGAATATTGTCATCTTTCTTGTCGCACCGCCGTCTTTATGGAAATGAGATAACATGAATATGGAGTAGCCATTTAAACACATCGTTTTCGGAATAAGTCGATAGGCGCGATTTCCGAACCCCTATATAGTAAAATATACCTGCATTTTTATAAATTATTTATCAGCGACGAGATAGTTTTATCAATATGATAATTTTAATTTTTGGTTCTTCTCAGTATAGCGTTATAACGATAACGGTAATAAGTAAATTTTTATATCAAACGATTTGGTTATAGTATTTATTTGTTCGAATAAAAAATATTATTATTATTGACATTTATAACGAATAGGTACATATTTATTAAATATTAAAAAAGAAAAACTTAAAAGATCAAATGTGTTTCTGTGTGATTAGGTATAAAAGACACTGAAATTTTAAAAAATAAATATGTTTTTTTTTTCATTTTTTAATGACAATTTTTACATAAATATAGCTCCCATTTCGAAATATGAGATTTTCTTACGAATTAAAACGTCTAATGTATAGTTGCAGAATGTATATTGCAATTATAGACAATTTTAGATTTTATATTAATTGACCTGCGCACCTTATTTTTCCCCGTAGAAATGACTAGTTTCGATAACTTTTATTTTATTGGAAATAGAACAACTAATAGAATTAATAGAATAAGCTATATTGAACAACAATTTTTGATTATGTAACCAAAAATCATAAGAAAAAGTATTAAAAACATTTCGTATTCTAATTCTAATTACAGTGTTTGGAAATGTAATTTTTAGAATCCAAATCCAATGCATACTGTAAGGTATATAACGTAAGACCTATAGAAAAAAAAAAACTCTTAGATGCAATATAGATAACTATATGTAAAGCATTAAAGTATGTTTTCGGGTAAGAAAACAGGTCACACACAGCCCCTTCAAAATTATTATTTTGTCTCGTTAATGTGCCTAATATAGTTAGTTCCGATTCTAACAGTGGGTCTCTAATTAATCATTTCCAACGAAAATGCTATTCTGAATAGTGTTTGATCAACAGTATTGTTTTTTCAACAGCGTGCATTATTATGACAACAACAATTATTTAAAAACAATTAAAAGTCTGAAATTATATAAACTTAATAATAATAAAAAATAAATAAAAAGGTAACCAATGACAACCTTATTTTAATATCTTATATTTTTTTTTAACCAAAAGAACCAGATTTTATTTACTATCACAATTATTAATGAGAATTGAAAATAATGACCTTTCTAAAGTATCAAGTACCAACTAGAGCCAAAATGATAAAATAAAGGTCCCTGTTATGTTTTTATTGGAGCAAGTTTTCTAGGGAAAATTTTGTACACAGTATAAAAAAAAAAAATAGTAAAAAAACATCATTGTAAAACCAATATATTCTTCGCTTTGCTAAAAACCTAAAAATAATAATAATTCAATAATAAATTACTATATAATATAAAATGAAGGAAATGGTGTTTTTTTTTTTTAAAAAAAATTCGCCACTATATTTTATATAAGTACCTACTCATAGTATTAGGCGTATACAACGTACAAGTTCATCCAAATAAAAGGAATAAAATAAAATACTTGACAGGAGTCGAATATAAAACAGGATTCAATATATAGTCATCATTTTTTTTTTTAATGATGATTTATAAAGTTTCTCGGATTTTATGTCAGGCTCTTATTGTCTCTTCTTTATATTGTATTATACCTTCTGTTTTCTCCTGAAAATTAATCAAAATCGTTGAAGATGTCCTCTCTCGAATGAATACCGTCCGGATTTAATTATGATCATAGTCGCAGGCACATGCAGATAATATTATATCAAAAAGGTTTATTTATTTTTCCCCTCTGTTCACAAACCGTTAAAGCGGTGTGCGTATACCTTGGACTTTTTTGGTCGGTCGAGTTGTATAGTTACAAAAAAATAAGATAGGATAACGCAAGCTTCCACTGCCAAAGATGACATTTTCGTCTCATCCTCTATCCCATTCTGGTGTGTGTGTGTGTTTGTATATATTTGTGTGTGTGTGTGCCCTCACCGTATTCTTCTTTCGTATTTTACTTCTTTTGAACGTTCGAGAAGTTGAACAATAACTTTCAGGGCAAAAGTTTTAAGCTTCCGAAAGCTTTCGCCGACTTTATCCGGCTATTATTTCGGCGCATACACAAAACGCTTATGCATTATACATTTGGACTTGGCTACTGTCTCCGTTTTTTTCCCCACCCGTATAAAATATTATTTTGTACACTTTTACCGCGAAGAGGTAATAGCGGTATGTCGGACGTTTACGTGACCGCGGCGCGTTAGAGGAAAAGAAAAAAAAACAGCAGTCGTTTCGAGGAGCGGACGTGGCAAAGGTAGTGGAAAAAACTGCTAAATAAAGAGAAACAAACCGCTAACACTATACCAGCGGTGTTTTTATTTTAATGTTAGTGCCCACAGCCCATAATATTATCATACCTATCATTAAGTTCACGAACATGTAGCGTGACTCTTTTTTAATATTCGTACTCGTTCGATCATTTACCTACTAGAATTGAGCGTAAGCTTAAATTACACATTTAAGAATAATGTAAAAACTAAAGTTGGGGGCAAATAATAATACTAAAAATTGATACTGCTCAAGGAAAGGCAATTGTTGTAGGTGGATAGTTGGAAAGGTAGAATATAAAGAGCAAGTAAGTTTTAATATACTGTGTACAACAAAAAATCGTTGCAAACGAAACAACGATTCTGAACGGAGTAGTATTACAGTAGTATAAGTTGTTTTTTTGTTCAAGTTAACTCAGAAATCAACAATAAAAAAAAAAAAAGTATCGATGTTAAATGTCTAATATTTTGAGTTTTAGGTTTATAAAAATAAGTTTAAAACATCTTATATATTATGTTTCGGCAATTGTATAATATGTCCGTCTGTAGTTAGCGAATACATAGTTACGATTGTTGATTTGATTGACAAGAAGAGAAATATTTTCATAAAATTTGTATTATTATTATTAATTGAAATATGAGTATTTAATGTAAATGCATATCAGTTAATATTAAAGAAATAGTTATTAAAATAAAAGTACTTTAAGAATTTAACAATATCCTGTCAAATATATGCAAATTAAGATATCCAATTTATTTAAGTTTCTACACTCAAAAAGTATACTTAGTGTCTTAGTTACCAATTTCTTTCAAAATTGTACATAAAATTACAGTTTATCGTCTAAATTACTATAACTACAGCTTTCCTGAGTTGTTTTAAATTGTATATAAAAACTGTTAATAATCTATACTTTTTGTTTTAACCCTTCGGAACACATTATTTTTGAAAATTTTTTTTCTTGAAAAATATTAAAAGTTAGCACTGTTATTACATACAAAAAAGAAACAAATTTAGGTTGTTTAACTATAATACCACAATGTCTCAAAGAGTCAAATAAAGTACTACTGGGCAGAAATTTCACATCTTTTGAGGTACTACGTAAAAAAATTGTATTATTAAGTTAACCAAAAGTATTAATAAAAAAAAAAAATTTAAAAAAAAATGTCTGGGATTAAGGATCTATTAGGAATTTTGAAAAATGTTTCAAAAAACGTATCATCGTGTGACAAGTCCGCATCTTATTTAAGTTATACCATGACAAAGAAAAATCTTGGTATTTTTACCAGGGCCAGAACATACAATTTAGTAAAGTATTAAACATACATTATACGAACGTATATAAGTATTCATAATATTTTTATGCAAAATATTGCATAAAGATATTATTAAAAGTAAACGAAGTTTATGGATATTAGTTAAAATCAATATCTATACTATTATGTAAACAGCGACTAACAAATGTTGAATAATTATACATTTTATAAAAAAATAAACGGATACAAATTACATTTTAGTCGCTATATAGGTAGTTTTATAAACATTTATTAAAACCCTGATTTTTAACTCCATAAAAGGAGTTTCAAAACGAAAAAATCCTCACTCAGAGTCTAAATCCAGACGGTATTTAAATAATACTGATATTAACGTTTATGGTAATCTCAAATCATAATATATTGTATATGATCTAAGATGATGATTTAATATATTATTATACGCGTATTCCATAAGGTTTACATTTCATTGACGAAAAATGGGCAGACAGACTAATGGCATCTTCTATGAAAATATTATTATAATGCGTTCAAAACGAACGAGTATCAATACGTATTGTAATACCTACGTGTATGCTATTCTACTGGGTGTATAATAATAATATTATGATTTATGTGTAAATCGATGTTAGGTAAACCTGACCTAACCGTTCTATTGTGATTTCAGTACATAAAAAAAAACTACCAATAACGCGTCAACAATTTATTATAGTATGATAAAAATATAGGTTATTGAAACGATTCGCAAAATATTCATTGTGCATTTTAACAGGGAAATATTCACAAAAATGTCCGAGGAGTGAGAGGAAAATATGTTATTTCGAAAATAGACAAATGTTGATGACCAAAGTTAGGATTGAACAAATAAATTAAAGAAACACGACAGTTATTTATGTTATCTTTATTTTAAAAATGCGTAAAGTGAAATTTACACGGATGTCCCTGTCATTTTATCGTTCAGAACAAGAATAGTTGGAGAAGAAAAATTAACAGTTACCATACATTGGCCGAAACTGTAAACTTTAGAGTTTCTGTAGATTCTTTATTAATAAATGTATGAAAACAAAATATTATGAACATATATTGTCTAATGGATCTGCTGTGTTCATAAAACAAACACATAATTTCTGCTTGAAAAAAAATCTAATTTATTTTTGTCACTGTCCCATGCATATATTTTGCGTTAAAAATGCATTCTGTTTTTGTATTGAATGCACTGTCATAATATTTTACGTTTATAATTAATACCTGCCCGGTGACAACAGAAACGATCGAATTAATTGTAAACGTAGCGGATCGAGCATACATCCATATCATCATACAGGAGACCGTAATATTTTATTTTCACCCTGTATATAAATTCAGCTAACGTAATGTTTACCTATTGCTGTTATTATTGTATATCCATTAAAATATACGCATGTAGCAATAATATCCTATAAGTGATAATATTTCAAAATACAATTAATATACCTATATACCTACAAATCTTTGACTTAATTTAACTACCCGCGGTGTTTTTTTCAATTTTACTATATTATATTGCGGAATACTTTTAATTTTATCACGTGGCAGGAATATTTGAATTAGTTAGAAGAGCGCTCATCATACTCAAAACCAAGTATTATTCCACACTGAATATATGTTAATATATACATATATAAGTACGACTTCTCTATATAACATCGTACACCATATATTTCTATTAGGAAAAATATTCCACGATAGTAATAATATGCCGACAGGTGCCTATATTATTTTGTTTAAACGTAATTTAAATTTTATTGAACGCGGTTAAATACCAAAATATAAACACCACACACTCAAATTTAACAGCCTAAAAATTGTTACATACCAAGTAGTTTATCAAAAAAAATTTAAGTATTTACTTACATTTTAAACGTGCAAAACAAAGTGTATTTTATCTGAAATCGAGTTTTGGCGATTAAAAAACAATATCATAATATAGTAGAAAATGCTTCATAATAAATAAATAATTGCCTGAATTTTAAATGAAAGTTGAGTAGGTAGTAAAGAAGCAATCAAATAAATTATTTAGTTTTGTGTTTGAAAGGGAACATAAATGAGAAGTAACGGTACCTACTATAAAACCGAATTCATATAACTTTTGCGAAATAAACGTCATTCGATTTTAAAATTATATAGTTGATTGTTTTTTAATTTGTTAAAGATTATAATCTAAATCAACCCACTATTAAACACGTTTTACTTACGTAGGTATTAATAAATACGCATAAAAAAAAAAAAAACGAATCAAACGTAGATACAAAAATTAAAATACAAGAAAACTCTGGATTATAATATACATTTATAAACTCTAAATCCATAGTAAATTCTAACGATATTTACGTTTGCAGGTTTACTTGACATGAAATCCACGCTTTTTAAACTGTACACTTTTAGTTTATAATTAAACTGGATATACGTTATTTATTAAACGGTTATTCAACGTTGTATAATGTATAGCCGCTTTAAAATATGGGTTGAATAAACGGGTAATAAATGAATATTGTAAATACCATTATAATGATAATCACAATATAATACAATAATATGATAATGATTCTAATCGTTGTCATAAATTAAAATTCTGATAACACTAGTTTATTGTCAGTGAGCTGTCACTATAGACCTTATACTAATTACTAATAAAAATACTAGTTTATTTTAGAATGTATAGCTCAAGCACATGTTGTATGTTTATTATCTAAGATCATATAAAATGGATGAGTGTATAGTTTCATTAGGTTACATGAGCATCCCAAGTGAGGCTTGTTTTTTAATTCCTATATACAGAACGTTAGGTGTTGTCCCTAACCTGCTTCAAAAATATATTTAGTTCATTTATGGTTTTACATTAAGGGTACATTAACTCTCGTAACACTTACTATATCATTAATCGCTCTACAAAAATCTTCGATGAATATTCCACTAAAAACTATAATATTTTTAAAAATTTTTTTTTTTTTTATTAACTTTACACCGATTGCCACAGATTGTAGTACCCGCACACTAGAAAACGTAGAAAATAGTAAAAATGATTTTCAATTCATATTGTGTTACTGTTAAATTTAAATACTTGATGACAAAACTACAGATACCACAAATATAATAAACATAAAATGAAAATAATTTTCGAGGGATTTCCTTCCCTCCTGAAAATTAATGTTCCAGATAACGCTAATTTTAGTTCTATTATATCGTCAAAATTTAAATACTCTGTGAATCGTTATAGTTAATATATATGTTAACGTAGTGGGTAGAGTTTAGGCGTTAGGATAATGTGTGTGTGAGTGTGTGTGTGTGTGTGTAGGCAGATCGAATTCTATAAATCTATTCTAGTTTTTTTTCTTCTTAATATATTTAATATTTATAAAATATATTTTAATCAGGGATATTATAAATCTATTCAAAGAATAATAGAAACTACACATCTATGTTTAACAAACGTATACCTACTATGGTTACGAGTAAACCATTGGTAAACGTAATACTCACCTTTGTTTGAGGGTGACAACGTTAAAAATACTAAATGTTACACTTTGGGTAGGTATCGATTTAAAAGAAGATATTTAAAAAATGAAGGTTAAAAAAAAAATTAAACAACATTGTCGATTGTTTAACGTTATAAACTTGTTGTAGGTATCTACGTTCTGCGTGAGTTGTGGCAATTGTTAATGTTTATTTATTCCATAAATTGTACGTCAATGTCGAACACAAAACAACTAAGTGAATGTAAAAAACAAATTCGCCGTGATTTTGAAGAAAAGTAAAAGTGAAAAATAAATAAAAACAAAAAGGGTAACGCTGAAGACAATATTGTTTATAAAACAAAAATCCCAAAGACTTGTGATAAATAAATGTACATCGCTCATAACAATAGTAAAACTCGTTAACTAATCAAGAAGTAAACAACGAAAAACAATAATACAAAGGACGACTTTGAACAAAATGTTAAATCAAATTTCTCTAAAATATTGTAAAAAAAGAGCTGATACTGCTGATGGACGAACCATTGTTATTGGAACGAAGTTAGAAAAGTAGGATAGATAAAGTTATTTAATTTTTATCTGTACGTAACAATAAATCATTGATGACAAAGTACGGTTAAGAGTAAAGTTCGGTTAAACATATTTTGAAGTGCCATGATTTTTACGATTATTATTAAAATTTAGTATTAAAACTTTTATAAAAAAAATTCTACATTATACTCAATTTTTTTTTTACCGTTAAGTACCTACAGCTTATTATTACGACTGCTGTTAAATGTCCAAGCGTTTCTGTTTAGTTTAACTATTTTCTCCATAAAGTACCTACAGAAGAATAATTACATAAAAAAAACTCACAAAATTAAAATGTCTATAAATAGCTAAAATATCTGGAAAGTTTAACCTTGTCTAGAATAGGAAAATATAAGTGTTATCTGTTTAAATTTTAAGTCCCTATGAATATTTTAATGAAAAATTATAAAAATCAATGTAAAATCAATAAATTTCTTACTTTGTTTAGAATCTAAAACATACTACTACATTACGCTATTTTCAAGTAATTTTGCTCGGTATTATACTTAATTATTACCTAAATAATACAATGAAACCGCAGTACGTTGCTACTAAAATGCTGAAAATATTATTTTGCTAATCGGGAAAAAAAATAATAAGCAAGTACTTACTAATAAACATTATACCTACTTAATATATTTGACTCAAAATATTCGATGTATATTACACAGCATATTTTCACCTTTTTTCGATAGTTTTAACAGATCTCTGGGAACTAAGAGGAAATTAATATGTTTAAAAAAATTATTATTATTATTATTATTATTAAATAAGTATACACCTACTTAATTATAGTATAAAACTAATAAATTTCCATTGATAGTTAATATAACAATTGCAGTAAAAACAACGACAAAACAATTCATTCCTTGCTTCGCTCAGAATCTAAAATAACAATTAAAACATAATCAAAAATCCAAATAATAACAGTTTTATCGTGTTTATTGTAATGAAAAAAATTCCTTGTTTAGAACTAAACGAAAATAATTTTTTTTTTTTATTAGTTAATATGTTGAATTTTATAATTTTTAGTGTGATAAGTACAGTTTTAAATTAGAAATTTATAATCTTAGTTATGTATTGCATTATAATGTTTTATTCTTTAAAAACAACCAATTTAAAATTATTTATTAGACGAATGTTAACTTTGTTTTCAATCATAAACAAATATGAAAAAAACATTTCTGATTTATATTCTGAAAGCGTTCGTACCGTTAAAAACTTAATTCAAAACGTTTAAATGCGTACGAAATATTAAACACTAAACGCCAATCGACAAAATTGTTTGAAAGAGTATTAACTATGTGAAGATCTCGTTTACGAGTAGGCATTTTTAAATAAAGTCAATGATTCTATAAAATACCAATCTCAAAATTACCACCAATTGCCTATTCATAATATTATCCTGTTATTTGGTTGTGTGATTGAATTATCAGATAAATTATAAAAAAAAACTTAAATCTAAAAAAACCTATTAAAGTAATGTTTAAATTAATTTCCTTCCCCACGGTTAACTTTCACTATTGAATATTTATTACTGTCTCAAGTGGGAATTAAACTGAACTTTATCTTAATCTTTTAAATTTTACCAGAGAGGGTAAATAACTAAGAGGTTAATTTTCATCGGTTACACCGGTCCTAGATTTTATTTTCCAGTGTATTTAAATCCTTTCTTGTCTTATATATCCATCGCTTTATTGGTCTTCGATCATTTGGATATTTTCCCCTACGGTTTCCATTCGATTGGCTACTTTTATATGTAGTTTTGCATTGTATGACAAAGGTACCGAATGTAATAATCGGACATACAGTTTTAATTTTAGTGGTTACGATAATATTGTTCAGTAGGAATTTGTAATTATGTCTAAACCGATGTCACCATAACATGAGTATTTACATCACAATTACTACTAATTATAAAAGTAATAATTTCCGTCTTGAATAAATACTAAAGTACGATATTTCTCTTATATTTTTTGTTATTATCAGCGAAAATTCGAGATTTCAGCAGTTTCTTTAGCTTTTCTACAAAATTATTCCTTTACACTTATACTGCTGCAACGGTACCGTGTTCTTGTGGACTTAAGATCGTAAAACTGACTGCCTATTTTCCGATACAAACAACGAAATGTCCGGTATCTATGTTTGCTTTAAACTAGATGCACTGCAAATATTTACACCGTGACCATAATATTTCTATAAGACGTTTGCGTATAATACATTATTACCACTGGTCAGTAAACAACACAAAATAAGACGACGTTGAGCTTAAGACACTTGAACGCAAATATTGTGCCAACCGTCTAAATAATAATTATTCTTCTATATATACTTGCAGAGATTATTAATAATTTATTAACGCATATAAAATACGCAATAAATTCAAAACCGAATTAGTAAATATACTTATAAGTAAACAAACGTCTCTAACCATTTCTAAAATTATGAGGGTTAAACGGATTCGAAAACACAAGTAGGACGAGTAAGTATTATGATGATATCGATCTATAAATACCTATACAATATATTTGATTTGATTTTATACTATTATCAGTGGCGTAGCCGAGTGTTTTACCCCCATAAATTGCCTTTTTTAGCTATTGGTAAGGTTAAGAGGTCTGTAGACTCCTTAATCCCTTTAGACCCCATTACCACGCCCAAAGATAAATCCTTGCTACACCACTGATTATTATATTATTATGATAGATACCTATTGAGCAGCATATATATTCGTAAATTACACATCGTGTTGTATTCGGTACTATTACTCGGTTTTGTTAAAAATTCAAAATGTACAATTCTTCGGTTTGAAATCGACCTGACATCGGGGGAAACGAATTAATATTGTTTATTTTGTAAATTTCGTTAAGATAAATGTCTATACAATATTATTGCAATATATGAGTCTGCCGACGTATACCGAATAGAAAATCGTGGATCAATGCAAATAATGTTGAATTTGAACTCTCAGATTACCCTAAACCATTGTCAATAAACAATTCCAAAAATAAAAAGAGCTGATACTGAATAAACCACTGATGGAGGTGGACATTTTGGAAAGTAGAAAATACAAAATTATTTAATTTATATCTGTACACAGTGATAAACAATTGCTAACAAAATTTGAATCTGAACAAAGTTCTGTAAAATATACTCTTGACCTTCGTCAAAATTTGAACTTAAAAATGCTCATAAAAAACAATTATATTACGCTCAACTTTTTTTTTCACCATAAAGTATATAAAAACTTCAAGTTTAGTTATTAAATATGTCTGCTCAGACAAACGATTTTATCCACACAAAATCAAATTATAATTTTTAAAAAACCGAAAATGACAAATGTCTGTAAGTAATTAAAAAAATCGCCAGAATGTTTTGAAAATTTTACCACCTCTAGAAAAAAGTCATAATTAGTTTTCTGCACACATTTCGCGTCTATACAATTATATTTTTAATAAAATTATAACAAACAATTAAATCTAAAATAATAAAACGATTGATGCCGAAAACATTCCCAGTTTCCCTATGGCTTTTTCTAATCATTTAGTTACCTACACATAAATCATAAAATTACCACACAAATGTTTCATTAAAAAATGATTCAAAATTTGAATTGTTAACAGACAAAATAAAACACATCACATTAAAACCAACACATCCCTCGCTGCTCTCAAAATATTATAAACGGACTATCGGATGTAAACGAACAACAATAATATTAGAAATGTATGATTTTGTTTTGTTAATAAATTTAAAAAAAAAATATCAATTATTAAACGATGAGAATTTCGAATACTATACAAATTCGATTATAGTAGCATGAGTCGTGCATAAGCAAATCGAAACATTATAGAGAGCAAATCACTTCTTCGGTTAGGAAAAGAAGAATTGAATATTTAATTTATCCGTGTACATAATGTTTTCTTTAGGCTTTCATTTGAAAAATAAAAATTGCACACGATTATTGGAATTTGACGAAATATTTATTTTTCAGGTATTAAAAGCAAAAATAGATATTATAAATGTATGTGTAGAGAGTTGCAGTATACATTTTGCAATATTACTGTAATGTTTTGTTACATTTATAGTTAATAAATTAATGAGTTTTATTATATTTTGATACCCCGGGGACTAGTTTATATTTTTTGAACATATTTTTTTTCGTATATTAGATTGGAATAGTAATAACTAATACGAATATTAAAAACAAAACCACACCACCCGTTTGGTAGCTCTGTACATTAATTTAACGAAAACGAGAATTTCTTGAGAATGCGTATTATTTTCCGTCAAAGAGAATCTGACGACGATGAGAAATAAAGTTTGTCTTCCACTCCGGTAAGAATAACATAATCGGACAAATTGGAATTTTTTATTTTTACATCTGCTTCTACAATAGATACTATGCAGGTAGATACCTAACCTACCGGCAATTACTAGAGGTATATAAGTATGAACAATAGGTTTTTCTTTTAACGAATCGCTTTGTACGATGTGCTCATTAGTTTCGATCAAAGAAAATAACAATACCGCATAATCTATATACTTACCGCACAGCAAAATATATTTTCATAATATAAATGCGAAAATAAAAAAAAAATAAAAAAATATAAAATATTCGCGTCATATAATTATTTTTTTAAAATGTATAACTGGGTGTACGTGCATTAATTGTTATTAGATAAATACAAAGTATTATGTGTTTCAGTAATTTTATACCGCATTTTTTCATAGAGCATATTATAACACCATGTTATTATTATTATATTATTGTTATTCCATTATTAAAACAATAAATTATTACTGTAGTACTATAATAATATGATACAGTCATATTATAAAAACTAAAAACTTAAATGTCATTGTGATATTTGGAATTGTTGTAATGTTGCAACCAAAACGTATCAACGAGGGGGAGGGGGGAGATTTAGGGTTCAAATAACCGAACCGAAATTTGCACGTCTGTCTGGCGTTTTCCATAATTACATGAAAAATAATGTACTACTTAGTTAATCAATGAAATATGAAATTAAACCCCATCATTATAATGTAACATGAACATTAAACATGAAACAATTATCAACAAATACTTTCAATGGGAGTGCTTGTAGTTCTGATGTTTTAATAATATTATAATACTTTCGGTGATTGTGAAATACAAGAGTTTATAGTATTATTATGATATACCTATACTGTTTTCAGATTCTGAGCAAAGCGATGTATTATGTATACCAGTCACTAGGCCCGTAAACATAGGAACAAATTTCGGCAGGGAGGGATTTTAAATATCGAATTATGATGTTTTTTTTCAAAGAGATAAATGTCATAAATGTTTTCCTATATACGTATTTTTTTCTGTTTGTAAACAATTTTTCGACTAGAAATTTTAATCAAAAAAATAGTTCTAGGGGTGGTTTTTGGTAGCGAAATTTGTTTATTTAGTGTATTTAAGATGTCATTTTAAAGATTTCTCATAGACTTTAATTAATTGAGCAAATCAAAAAAATCGAGAAAAACCGTTGAGAAATTAAATACTAACGGTTTGTAATATTATACTACTATATGGACTCAGGAGAAAAAAAATTGCAGATACTTGAAATTTTCACAAAATATTTAATTATATAATCACATTTTTAAACGTTGCATACGTACGATGTTCAAAATATTCTCACTGTTTTTTGAGTAATTTATAGGTATATATAATGTTCGAGTTTTTGTTTTTTTTATGGATACAAAACCGTTTTGGTCCAGTAAAAATGGTCGAACATTTGGCACAACGTTCATCGTAAGTTGTACTGAGTGGCCAAACAAAAAGTTTAGGCGTTATGTGATAATTTATTTGTATAAACATTTTTAATTCATATTTTAAATGCAATCCGTTAAAAAGCCAAAAAATTATCATTAATTTTGTTGTTATTAATTGATATAATATTTTTAATTAAAGTTTATCTAAAAATGGTTAACCGATATACTCTGTTTTGAATCTTTGTTCGTTTTTACTGTATTTGCCTACTTACAAACGCTATATTGAAAAAAAAAAATAGTAAAATAAAACAATAAAAAAATGTATATTGGTAGACATGTTTTACCTACATCATAATATGATTATTATTGTAATTGTTAGCACGTTGAAAGAATAATTGACTCGCGATTCTTACAATATGCCTATTATTATCTAGGGTCTACGGAATTACATTCTGGATCGTAAAATGATCCAGAATGTAATTTCGTATTATTATTATACGACGAACATGATGAGTTAGGAATTTCATTTTGACGACATTAAAGACTTCATGTCCATATAACGTAAATGGTTGTACGGTATTTTAATGGAATTAATTAAAAGTGCAGCCGCGGAATACGCGGGCGGTATAGTGATGGAATGTCCGATAAGACTAGAAATTGTTCAGTTCGAATATTATCGGATGTGAAAATATTAATCGTTATATTAACTCGAAACATTACGAAAAAACTAGATAATAAATTATTCATGATTATTAATAATCAAATTAATATAAATACCTATTCAGTTTTAATTGATTGAAATATATTATCCTAAATATAGTCTAATTTATCCAGATAAGTAGGTATTTATGGAAGTATACCTATTACACTAAATTGTTTACACTAATAAATTACAGTTTTTACGTTTTTGAATTGATTTGTGAGTGAAAAAAAAAAAAAATAAAAAAATAGGGTTTCGTTAAAAACTATTTAATTTTAAAAAAAAAATGTTTCTTATTTTTTAAAATACTGCCATATTTAAATTATAATCGAACTAAAATTCCATAGCTTTAATAATAATAGTTAATAGTGGACGAACGTTTATTGTATTTAAACATTCTTGATAGAATATATACATTACATTACACTTTATTATACCTGTTATTTAATATTTATGTACTTCTGGCTATTTTTGAACACTTCAGCATCACATCTGCACCAAATGAACTCAAACCCGAAATTCCAGTTGATTCATAGGGGGTAATAAAATTTCGGTTGAATTTTATCATGTACATTTGTACACCCCTTAAAAATCACTAAATAATACTAGGAGGATGAAATTTTGTATATGCGTAGTACAATGTATAGTATCAAGGATGTACCAATCAGACAGTTTCAACTTAAAACCCTGTTCCAAACCATTTGTATTCTCAAATTTCATTTTTGCACAGTAAATACCGAATTTTAAATACCCAAAATACAGACCACAATGTAATTAAACTCCGAAAAAAGTTGATACTACTAATGCTGGTGCACTACTGTTATAGGTGGGAAATTGGGAAATTATGATGTATATAATCATTACATTTATATTCGTGAGCAAAGATAAAACAGCGTCAACAAAAAATGATTCTGAGTGAAGTTCGTTTATAAATAATTTGGAAATCCTAATATTTACGATAAACTTCTACTGGCTGTCCCATTCGGCACTACCAGGAACAATTTTTTTGTTATTTTATACGTGTCACCAAGATAAACCATGGTTAAACAAAAATAAATAAATAATTAATTAGATGTTTGTCCCAAATATACCCAAAAACCCCTTGTTTATGGTTGAATTTTAAAAATCTTTTCTTAACGGATGTCTACATCACAATAGCTGTCTGTATGCCAAATTTCAGTTCGATCCGTCTAGTGATTTGGGTTAAGCGAAGATAAATCAGTCAATAAAGTCAGGTTATTTTATAATATACTAGATGCCCCGCGTCCATCGTTGCCCGTACCAATTTGTAATATTATTATTTTACCAGTATTCATTTCAAAATTTAATGCAAATAAATAGGCGGAAAGTAAGTAGTCCAACTTCGGCGAACTAAATGTGTTCCATTGTGAAATTTTAATAGTTTAAATATTAGTAATAAGAATAATTATTAGTTTTCTTTTTCGTGACAACCAAATTATCATTATTTGAATAAACAAACATAATTAAAAAACAATGAGATATTCGTACCAAATAAACCTAAAACCCTAAAATTTTCCCCCCATATGAGTTTAATTTTCAAAAATCCTTTCTTAACGGATGCCTATGTCATAATAGCTTTCTGTGTGTCAAATTTCAGCCCGATCCGTCCAGTGGTTTGGGCTAGGCGATGATGAATAAGTCAATCAAGACATGTTATTTTATTTGTATAGAAAATGTATAATAGCTTACAATGCTAGTTAACAGTGTACATAATATTAATAATAGTAGACAAATAATGATAAACAAAAATAAATAAGTAAATTTATATAAACAATTAGAAATTCGTTTCAAAAATACCTAAAACCCTTATATAATTCAACAGATTGAGAATGGAATATTACGTAAAAATTTGAAAATGATTAGTAAAGGGTTCCCGAGAGTTGAATCCAAGCATAAATCAACATAAAATGTATAATTTTACATTTTATTCCTCTCATATTTGAGTATAGTTTGTAATAAAATCTGCTTTCAAATTTCAATCACAACGTATCAGACGTAATCAAAGACGCACTATCTCTCTTTGCGATGCCCAGCGTAACTAACAACGTCATCTTTGGGGATTTTTATGAAACTTACAAATAATTGTCCTTTGAACTATAATAAACATTTAATTTGCAAAAAAAAAATTATAAAGTCATTAATTGAAACGAAAACTATCCTATCCATTAAGTTGGATCAAACCACACGCATTGAGCATTATCTTATCAAAATCGGTTGAGTAGTTTCAGAGTGCATCGCACTTAAACTCGTCGCACGCGTGAGTTTTATGTACATATATATAAGATATTACACTTAACTTTTTTTACCACGTACGACCTTTAATGAACACCAAATTAAATTTCCAAGCATTTCTCTTCGGTTAAACAATTTTATCCGCATGGTACATACTAAAATAAAAACAAGTTAGGTAATGTAAAATACTTATAAATAACTGAAATCATCATCATTGTAAATTTGATTTTGTCTTAAAAAGTCAAGCAAAAGTCAAGTTTTCCATTATTTTCGTAAATTTTCTAAGGTTTTTCAGTTTTGCTCATTTATTACAAAAACGATTTGAAAAATCCAAAAATGACTTTAACAAAAAACACCTCTTGGAATTCATCGGTTAAAGGAATATTTCTGATAGAAAACATAGCGTGTAAAAATTAAAAACAATGAGTGGTTGACGCCGCGGAATACCGTAAATGTTTACCGTTTTTCTAATAATATTGTTTCTAATTTTTCTCAATTATTTTGAAAAACCCCTTGGAAAATCAAAAAAAAAAAAACTTATTTAATGTACCAACGAGAACTAAAATTCAATAAACAAAATCTCTTGTCATTTTTCGATTGGAATAATAGTTCGAAAAGTTGTTTACAGATAGAAAAATAAGCATATCTCATTGTAAAACTAACAGATTCCTCTCTTCGCTCTGAATTTGAAAGAAAATTAAATATTTTAACGGTGATAGGTTGGCTGGGAGAAAATTCGAGCCCAATGACGGAATTTAGCTGCGCGCGGGTGTTTTATTTGTTAACTATCAAAAATTAAATAATACGTAAATATGTACCTTTAAAACACACCCGTCCCATACACCGCCGTTGTCGTATTCATTACTTATACGATATTATAGGACACAATTTTTATTGCTGCAAACCACTAAGAATAAAACTGTCATCATAATCGAAAATGTAAAAAAAAAAAATGATTTATATAGTATCTATAAATCTAAAATAATTCATTATTTTGCTGACGTGATTAGGTATTAATAGGTTAGTGAATTATATATTACCTAGAACTTTATTTATTATAATTCAAAGAGGACGAGTTGAGAGTTTTCATTCAAATATACTAAAATTGTTCACTTTTCTACTACCCACGAGCATTGTAATATAGGTACCTATATTTAAATAGCATTTTCTTTTTATGCTCAGAGATCAATATCAGAAGGAGGAGAAAAAATAATGATGAGATTATTATTTCAAAATATTTTTTTATAAACGCTGAAGGATCTTATACATTAATAAAGTAATGCATAAATTCAATGATAATTCGATTATTTTTTTTTTCTGCCCCCGGTATGTTCATCTTCATTATACCATTGAGTTTTTTGTATCTCCAATAAAAACACGTGAAATAAACTACCTATATACATTTTAAAAATAATAACAATAATAATAATATCGGTTACTTCTGTTTTACATCATCGTCGGGGTAATGTTATTACGCAATAAGTGTAAAATTTCGCAATAAATTCTCGATTATCGCTCCGTTACTTCATTAATAATAATAATAATGATAGTAATTGATTTATTGCCGACGATGACGTATTTATCGAGCGGACCAATAGCAATTTATATATTTTTTTTTTATTTCGTTAAGCGCCCGTCATGAAAAAAATAAATAAAAAATGAGTATTGTGCAGAAAAAAAACCCAAAACAAAACAAAAACCAATCAATTTATTAACAGAAATTAAATATTGTTATAGTGCTGAGAATTATTTGGATAACTATTTTCTGTTATTTCATCCGGATAATAAATACGATTTCAATTGTTTGTTTAATAGTAAATAATAGATACATTTGTAATATATATAATATATCCAAACGGCTTTTTTTCAACGTAGAAAATACGAAAATTTATGTACTTCTGAATAATTATTTTTACACAACACTGTTTTATTTTATTTTAATTTTTTAATCCGGATAAAGTGCGAGTCGGGTAAATTTCATACCCGTGTTTAGATAACTCTGGTGCCTATATATTCAAAACTGGTATTACTCATAAACGTATATCAACATTTGTGTAGTAAAATAATCTCTTTTTGGGTCGGAGCATAAAAGCAACGGTTTCTATTCGAAAACCGGCAGTTGATATTCAAGTTTGTATTATATGGAATATAAAGATAACCTTTTTAAATTATTGTAAAATAAAGAACATATAATATTATTAAACGATTCTATACGAATAAACACTCATATTAAAACGGCTAAAAAATACCGAAATCTAATTTATTTAAAAACTTTGTACGAGTGCAACCTGATAAACGCTGTAGGTTCACGATATAAAAATCACTATATAGACTCTAGATATGTAATATTTTTTGGGAGAGAGGCTGCAATGAATATAGTATTTTTAATAATTAAGGGGAGCAAGATGTCCCTGGTAAAATACAATTTTATAGAAAGGCCCGTGTAGAAAGAGTAGGTAGTCTACGTTGTTGATAATCAATCATTACAAAAATATTGAAAACACAATGAAGCACACGTGTAGTATACGTGTATAAATATAAATCGAAAACAGATTACTGCCCACTGGTGCCATTTGTTGATTTTGTAATACGCGTTTATCGAGACTGTTTGTAGGAATTGATGAGAGGTCAAAAACTGATCTGCAAATTTCCACTAATAACAGGTACTGCGAAACCATTATTATTATCAATAATTATAGTTCAATATGAAATCCAAAATAAATTGACAGAACCGTGACTAAATAAGCAAGCGTGACCGCTAATCCATTTTCCTCAGAATCGGCAGAAACAGTTCGAATAATACGATATAATAATACCACGATAAATAATTTGTCTTTCAAGCCTGGGATGATAATTTCCTATCCAGCGACTACGCCTGTTTATTATTTGATCGTGGACTACAAAGTCCGGTGACTGATACATTTATTTGGCGTAAAATTTCTCAATCGAGAAAGAAAAGTTAAATTAGGAGGGGGGAGGGGTGCTATAGCTTACTATATTCTATATACTCACCCCCTTATATGCGTCACTGCTGTAGAAGTTATTGTAGCACAATATAAAACTATATATAGGTACATACTATGTGTCCATAGTGTTGGGTAGTATACGGGCAAAATATTATTATAATAATACAGATATCGATTATAGTTATTATTATTATTATTATTATCACGCACGCGGTGGCGTTCAAATGGCCAAAACGATTTCATTGTTCTGCGGGGGAACCCATTGTGTTCGGATGTGTGTTTATGCGGTGGCAATAATGACCGCCTACCGACAAATTTTGAATACCCCCATTGTCTCAAAATGTCGCCGGGTTTAAAACATATAGCGCTGAGTCAGGAGATCACGACCGTCCTAATCAATGCTAGGTGTATAGTTAAGGTGGTCGCTATACATTATAGGTACCTAACATCGAAACGAAAATTTCAACTTCTGTAACGAAAACGGTTGTGAATCTCATTTTGTCCAATTTTTAGAACGAATTTAATGATATACAATCGAAATTAATTTCTGACACTGTTTTTTTACATAAATGTGCCTAAAAGTTCGTTGGATTTTGTACTCCGTATTAAATTTTAATTTTTGAAAAAAAAAATCGTATTTCCAACGTTTTTTATGAAACACCATTTAAAAAATAAAAACAAAATATTATGCATCTATATTTACGAAATTTTTTCTGGGTGGAGCCGCTTATGTGATAAGTCAGTTCTTCGTATCTATACAATAACGTAACAATTGTTTTCGTTAGAAATCAAAATTTCAGTGTATTATTAAAATAAATTATATTTAATTTTTTTTGGACGAATATAACTATTGGACTATTGCTTTTTTCGTAGGTGATAGAGGAAAAAATTATCAATCAGACGATGGAATTAACTCTAAATTGATCAAAATCGAGAAACGACCTTTTTCGTAGGGGCAACCGATGTGCAACTTCGTTTTGAAATAATCATTTTCCCTGCATTTATTATAATATTCCAAATTATTTTTATTTTTTTTTTCGAAGAAGTAATTTCAGACAGTTTATAAAAATTAAAATATAATAATATATGTACCTATATAAAGTTTAGTATTCGGTACGGAAAATATTAATTTCCGGTATCGTCATTTTTTACTTCAATCTCGTCAAAAGTTTTTTTTTTTTTTTTTTACTGTCGTTATTATAATATGAAAATTGAAACCGCAGACACTATGTTTAATATTAAAATAGTGCAATAAATATATTTTATAGAATATAATAATCGAAAGTGTACGTATTTTTTCTAACAATAATAGCAGGTACCGAAAAAATATAATATTGTGTATTGACCATCAGTAAAATCGATCTTTATTATTATGTATTATGGATGCGATATTTTTTTGTTCCGGGTGGTCCTCGAGAGGATAAAACAGGAATATACGATATCCCCCGGAAAAACTATCCATCACAAAAACTAACTATATTATATCCACAAACAGTTTTTAATAATATTAAAAAAAAAAAAAGTAAGTTAAAATAAACTCTATACATTTATTTAGGATTCACACCTGAGTGCGAGAAAGGTTATTGGCAGATAAGTGTTTCGCGAACAAAAAAAAAACTTATGTACATACCCAAGGGCTTAAAATAATGCAATTTCACTCAAAACAATTCTAAAATAATATGTGATTTTATGGGTGATTTAAATCTATATCCGGTCTATTATTATAATTTATAGTTATTATACACCTACTGTTTAAAATGTGTTGTCGTTACTATTTTTCAAGAATTGACCTCAATGTTTTTATTTTATTACCTTCCTACTCATACACTGATAGTGTGTGAGTTTTAGGTTAGTTTTATTTTTGGTTACCCTGCATTGTATAGTGCAATTTGTGCGCGATAGCTACTAATTTAATTTGCAAATTTTCTGATTAAAACCCGCAATAACCAAACTCGGATACTTATAGTTTAATACAGATAACTAACGCGCAAATTATTTTCTACTAATCTCCCCCTATCCTAACTTTTAGATGAAATATTTTGTCAACGGATTAACAAAAAATAAACATTTTAACTCCAATATTTATTTCAACTAAAACGGTCATCTTTTTATTGAATATTAAATATAGATTGTTATTTGAAAATTTTATGAACAAATTATTATAGTTGTGTTATAGTCATTATTACAGTGGTTTCACCACTGAAAGTACGTATGTAATAAAAAAAATAACATTGATATAACATTTTAGAGGTAGGTTCCGTAAATATTAAAAAGAAAAAGACGCACATACTTCCACGATTGACGGACCACTATTGTAGGTGAGAATTTGAGAAAGTAGTATATAGAAGATAATTGAATGTATATCTACAACGATTAATTTTTGTAAACGAAAAACGATTTTGAGCGGAGTTCGGTTATACACATTTTAAAAAGCAGTTGGTAACATTACGATTTTCACCAAAATTTAATATTAAAATTATTATAAAAAAAAAATACTACGTATTAAACTCAACTTTTTCTTGTTTAGTACTTCTTGTAAAGTACACCTTGTAATGAATCTTCTTTTAAATTTTTGATTAGTCCCTTTAAAAAAATATGCTATTTTGATACTTCGGAGCAATATTGATTTGTACACAGTATAAGAAAAAAAAAACTTCTGTAAAACCAATACGTTCTTTGGTACACTAAAGAATCTAAAATTCCGTAAAAAGTTAAAATTTCTTAAGGTATTGCAATAGGTATATTTCTGTGGAATACTGTAGAGGCATATTTCTACAACTCAAGATACGAAACCTTCGATGCCATCATGGTATTATTGGCGTCATAATATTTTATAGTACAATTAACATTAACGGAATGTAAATGGCAAATATTTACTGTAGGTACTGTTTAGTTCTATGTAAATATTTGTAAACGGTTTCAAATAAAAAAAAAAAATTATTTATATATCAATCAATCTTAACGATGGCAGTTTACCGTAAAATGAGTACCTATATACTGTTTAAGTGTTATAATTTTTTTAGGTGGATAAAATACCGTCCGAGAAATAAACTGTTATCAATAATGTATTGTGTTATATAGTGTCGGTTTTATGAATTCGTTAATAAATAAATAACTAATAACGACGTGTCAAAAGTTTTTTTTTGTAAAAGAAGCTTTGGTGTATTTTAGTTATCGTGTCGTTACGAAATAATAAAATAATAAAATATAGTATATAAGTGTACTATAGAAAATCGTAGGTGGGTTACTTTTAACGATTAAATTATGTAAGGGGGAGAGGAGTGGGGACAAAAATAATTGGTTTCGTTCTAGAAAAATACAAAAAGAAAATTTGTGATTTGAATAAATTTGTAGTTATAACTCTGCGGTAACTAGTCGGGAGGAAAAACGAAAAAACGTTACGTGGAAAAGTTGCGACATTAAAGTTTACCGTAGCAAAGTTTTCGGACGATTCTGAAAGCGGTCGTAAATTGTTCGTGATTCGATATAGATTACAAAAGCATTCAGTGGCTGATAAAAATGAACATAAATTCGTATGTGAATTGTATATAAGGTCTGAACCGAGAGAGGGTAGACAACAAATTTCGTCAGCAATTTGATAAAGTGCTCGAAAAGTATCAGGCGACGATACATCGAGCCCTCGGCACACGCCTTTCCCCTCCTTTTTCTCTGCTCCTTATTACTTTTTTCCTCCCGAGTTTTTGTTGTTGTTGTTTTTTTTTCGTCGTCGTTTTCAACGCCGCCGTCGTCGTTGTCTCTGGTTCACACGCACTCACATCACCTCCCCGCCTCCGTCTTTTTATACGTTTTTATTATTTATATACACACGCGCGTCTTGGGTTTCTCACGCAGTTCCATCATTTTGATACATCGAAACACTTATTCACCACACCCTTTCCAGAGTCGGTATGTATATTATAAATAAATATACCTATATGTATACGACACTGGCATAAATAAGCCTTTAGGTGTATGAACCTCGGGCATGTAATCGCGTAAAACATCAACATCGAGCCGGGCTGAAAGCGATGTTCTATGGTTTTCGCTAGACTTGATAAAATGATTATGCATAAGGGAGTCGTGCACGGTAATTTGTATGTTTCCTATTTTTCTCGTCGTCGTCGTCATTGTCTTGTTATATGCGTGTGCTATGCTCTACTCTTTCGGAGGATGGTCGGGTTTTACACCTATTTGGCACACTCTCCTCTCGTCTAGCTGATCTACTGCAGCGGCAGCCTGCGCTACACGCTCGCGTGAAATGTACACGCCCAGCAGTGAAAACCGTACTTTATTTCACATATATATATATATATATATATATGTATACATTATATTTATTCAAACCGCTACAACTGTACAATTTCCGTTGTTCGTATATTTTACGTGCATATAATATTTATTGCCGTTTTAACGTAGTATGCCAATTTCAAAAATAAATAATTCCATTCCTCTCTCCTACCCCCCTAAAAAAACCACACACTAGCTGTCTCGATGCATTTTTGAAAGTTTGTTTGCAGTATATTGCGCATATAATAGCGAATGCAAGTTATTTTAATAATAATGTAGGTACCTATACATACAACTAAGTATTTTATTTGCATAGTAATTGAACGTTAAAATATATCATTAAGATAATAATAATATTTCCGTCGTACCTAACAATGCGACGGCGGCGAAAACGTATAAAATAAACTAGTTTATACAACAACTTTAGTATCCCGCGCATAAAATCTCTATACATAGGTACAAGAACAAAAAAGTCTCTAGTTGTATTGGAAGACATATTACTAATAATAATTTCAACGGTTTACCACGTTCAATTCGGACCGATTTTAATGATTAAAAATAATAATAATAATAATAATAATAAGTATTGTCAATTTATTTCTTAATAATACGCACACGTAATAACATTATGATATAAAATCTGTAGCTAGAAGCACTAAAACCTGAGATTCCAATAATTTTAAATTATCGCGGTTAATTTTCTCACGACTGCGCTGTATAATGTTTATTCTGATTGCATTCAACAGTATTAATATTTTTGACATTTAAATTTGGTGTTAAATACAGTATTTACAATAATATATTTGTATGGTTTTTAGCGTTTTAATAATCGAACATAATTTGAATTTAAATTTCAAATATATTACTATAAACACATATTTCATATTATTATGTATGAAATCATTAAAATAATTGCGTTTATAATAGTATATTATATCCGGTATGCTGCGAAATAAAACTATAATTCTTAATATGTCTTGTTGATATCGTATGTTCCGTGGCCCGTTTCCATAAAAATATCTATTTAAAACATTGTATTTATTTTTATTTTAGAATTTAAATTATGTATATTTTCCCAATTTTTAATATAATCACGATAAACTATTGTATGTTAAAAAAACATACAAATACACCAGAAAAGGGCCTATAAGCCACACAAATAATGACGTAAAACAGGTACCCGCGTCCCGCATGCAGTCACGTATACAGAAACAAATTTTGGGGCGCGCTGAACCTCTTAATCCCCCCTTCTGCTGTATGCGTGCTTGTCTGTTAGATTTTCGGTATTTTTGTCTTACACCCGCATTATATAGACACCTGGATATTATTATACACGAAGTATGCGTGACAAACGTACGGTTTATTAAAATTGAAATATTTAATAACTTTTTAAATATTCGCGCATATACGACACTTTACCGTTATACTTGTGCATTACCAACCTACCAAAAGCCGGCTGGTTAATTTACCCCTAACATTTTCGTGTTCGTATTATAAGCCCTCACTCAACACCTTTTGCGTCGTCGTATATATCCATCAAACATATTATTCATCATTATACTCGTCAACCTTTATGTAGGTATATACACATACACTTTCTTCTCGCATCACCTTGCCAGTTGAAATTTCAATTCATACCAGACAGCGCGTCTCGTGGGTGTTTAATAAAACATTCTTTTCAACCACACTATACATCGCATACCTACCTAACGTATATTATAGGAGGTAGTAGTTTGCACATAAAACCCGCTGTACTGTGCACGCCTTAATTTAATATACGTATACTTTAATCAATGCACCACCGGGTCGTTTATATAATAAATAATAATATATAAAACAATTTTGTCTATTCTATATACTCCCGAAATTTTGAAACCCTGCGGTTGAGTAAGAAATGATACCCCGTGTAGTATCGTATCCATATCGTACTTTTATACTGCTGCAGAAGATTTTGCCAAGGAGGGAGATATAGTTAAATTAAACCAATTTTGGATTGTGAATAATTTTTTATGGGACAAGCTAGTGTTTTTTTTTTTTTTTTAAAAAAAAAGAAAAGAAAAGCCTAAGAAAAGTAAAAAATCACTTCATTCTATGATTTTAATCTTATAACGTAGCCCCCGCTGTTAATTTTTAACGTTGTTTTAAAAAAAAGCCACGCGAAAAACTGGGTATATAACTTTGGGTTATATGTATACAAAAGTATTTTAAAAAAAAATATATATAGTCATATAAATAATAGATATACTTAAAAAGCCGATGGGATTTGTATATGAAAATGTATATAACACTCTACTGATATACTGTATAGGTTTCATATAAAATGTTGGTTTGAAAACAAATGATAGACGCTGTTGGTGGACATTTTTTAACAAAGAATAAAATCGTTTAATAATTAAAATTTTTGATTCTTTACATAATCAATAAACGTGCATTGATTTTTAGGCATATAGCCGCATTTACAGTTAGTAAATTAGTAATAGAAAACTATTAAATTTTTTAGTGGATGATTAAGTGTATAATTTAATGGATATTATAGTCGAACGGTTAAAATTCTCTACATAAATAAACTTTTAAGTTGTAAATACATTGAATTCAAATTTAAAAATTATATTTAGCATTAAGCAAAAATATTGTTGCAATTTATCATAGAAATTAAGGCCACCAAAAATAGAATAGTATTGAGCAGAAGAATATTATTTATTTTATCTTAAAAGGAATTATACATAATACGTATAACAAATTCAAAATAGAGTTTAAACAATAGAGTCAAAGCAGTTTTTAAACACAGCAATGAATGTATTAATTTTACTAAAATATGTTTTTTCTGTCTGTAAACGGTATTTATACCAGAAATATTGCTTTGGTTTCCAAGTGTTACACATCTGCTGAAAAAAATGTAATCTATTAAATATGTTGAATACTTTATAGATTTTAATTTTCATTGAAGTTTTCTTTATAATTTGAAAAAAAAAAAAAACAAGAAAAAATATATATAAACGACGGACAAAATTACGGCAATTACGATTTTATTTTTGTTTTTTTTTTTTTTAAAACCAGTTCAAACAATTATAGAAATTTTCACTTAATACTCATATCGAAGTTTTTGTACGTGGAGAAATATTCAAAATATTCTGGAGATTTTCGTGTTATTTATAAACATTTAAAAATTTTGAAATCACGCCATTTCAAAATATGTACAAACAAACATTGTTAAAGGTCGTGTTACATTAACAATGATTTATCGTTGCACAGAATATACATAAATTATGTAATTCTAAATATCCCATCTTCTCAACTTAATATCCACAAAGTGACTCACCAATTAGCCGTATAGAATGATTTGTTTAAATTGATTATTATTATTTTTTTGTTATTCACATTTTATATAAAACATCACTAACGTGATGACCGGTTATGTGATCAGTTTTTAAATGATTATGAGATAGTTGATTAGATTTTATCAGACAGGCGAGGTTTTATAAAATGGTAAGGGACGCTTCATAATTTTAGGGAAAATATCAATTATTATCGGGGCAAATTATAATAATAAGACAAATTAAAAAAGGCTGACATACTCTGTATAATAGGTTGGTCATTTTTGTAAGTTATAAACGTATAATATACATAAGGTAATTTAGTGTATGTCTGTGAACAATAATAAATCAGTACAAACGAAAAACGACCGCGAAGCCAGTTCGGTTTAACGTGTGTCGACAAATTTAAATGGAAAACTGTATGTTATTTTATAACCACAAAATAAATTGCAATTATTTGGGTTTTAACGAATTATTTATCATAAGATGTTAATAAAAATAAATTTAAAAATGTTCTGTTATTCACATAATAGAAAAAAATATCGAAAATATCAAAAATTTTGAAAGTAACACGTCGTCGTCTAAAAAAATGCATAATATTAGGTAATTCAAAATAATCAATAATAAATTGAACTATCGTAAACAAATTATTAACACCTAATCTCTTTATTATAAATCTAATACATTTTATTATGTTACAAGAGAATTATAACGTTTATATTAAAAATGCGTATTAATTTTAAATAACTTGAAAAAGGCGAATTCATACCGATTGAGCTAATACATTTTTGGGATATGGGATGTAGTTCACCGTTGGGTTTTATTATGTTTACAAATACACGCGTTGAATGTGTACAAATATTACGTCTATAAATATATGCGGTTTACTTTGTATCATAATATATTTATTGTTGAATCATTTTAGCGTTAATAGTCTTTATAAAAAATTATAACAGCTCGTCACTTTGTTTTGAGTGTTATAACTAAAAACTATTAATTTTACAAACAAACAATATATTTTATTGAATATTTATTATTGCCCTCATTCACGTAAAACACGTCGAGTCCAATCATTTCGGAATAGATTTTACATATCAATACGATCATATTTTATCATGATTACATTCTGATTATCACAAAAAACCTATAAGCGTTTTTTTTTTCCAGAAAAACAAATTTTCGGTTAGTAGAAATGATTCGATATCTATATAAGACTCTAACTCAAGTTTTCAAAAAAAAAAAACATTTACAGAATTTATAGAATTTTTAGCTAATGGTATTTTATTTTCAATATATTTATTGATATTTATAATTATTTCCGAGTTGAACAATGGAAAATAATGTGGTGGAATTTTGTCAGATTAGATTAAAATTTAGTGTACTAAAATAGAAATTTTGGCTTTTACTATTATTTTTAAATATTATAAAAAGTGTGGATTTTTATTTTTTTTTTTTTGATAGGTTTACCTAATCAGTGTTTAAAATACTTTATGATTTTGGCCACGTATTTTCGTTTTCTGATTACTATTTCAGAATATTTCGGTATTTCATAGCGATAATTATGATCCCAATTCGGGGTTTTAATACTAATCTAAAAATCAAAAAAAATTATATAAAACGTCTAACCGTATAAGTATAACAATCGTAATCGAATTATAATTTTGAATTCCAATATCGTAGTTAAATAAAAATATTTAAAACTATATATAGGTAATAATATTCCATTATCTTTATTGGCGGAGTTTATTATGTGAAACGAATACACCTGGTTTCTAAACCTTTTTTTTTTTTTTTTTATTATTCACCGCTCTATATAATATTCAATCGAATTATAAAATAATAACAGCCCAATAATTTATGTTAAACGAAATAGATAATAAACGTAATTTAGCGATTTATTATAAATATTTGTAGACATTAATAATCTATGTGAACCTCGGGTTTTTAAATCTAAACAAATTGTATATAATAACACTCAAATTGTTGAGTATACTTAACGCAGTTCCTATTGTGACTATTTGTTTCATATTTTTTCATAATGGTTCTAAATCGAGTCAACGGAGAAAAAAGTTTGATTCAGAAAAAAAAATCTACATGTAATACAATACCTCCAAATAAAAATAAATTAAGAAAAACGAAAAGTTATTGATGGAAATAAATAATATTTATTTTCGGTGGCTAAAACGTTATGATTAACTTTATCTGCAATATAGCAGAGCGAGACAAACGGTTTTCGAGGAGAAAAGGGGGAAATTTTCACTACCTATTTATTATTTGAAAACAGAATACTATATTTTCGGAAATAGGTGAGAGGTCGTTTGGGTTTCGCTTGTAATTATAATCGGAAAGAAACCTCGTATTTGTCGAATGTCCATAGTATACCTAATATAAACTTGGACGTATCGACTACAGTATTTAATTTTATCTAATCATTCGATTTTGAAAAATTCATTATAATTCTCGATATAATTTGTATTACTTTTTCCCATGTAATGAACATTGCTTATTAAAATGTTGATACCGTTTTAGTTTCTGCCCTTGCGATTAATTCCGGTGTATTCGACTGTACAATACTGTACTGTATTCAAAAAACGTCTGTTTATTTTAATTTCAAAAATTATTCTATTCACCCTATACACGTATCTATTGTAAAGGGTATTAAAAAAAAAATATATGCACACACGTTGTGTTATAAAATATAATATATTAAAACCGTTATATCTTTTGGCGATTTAGGATTGTATAATATCATTTAAATTAAATAAAAACTGAATTCGGTTACAAGTATCGTAAAAACGTATTTTTTTTTTTTTAAGCGCATAAGGGTTATAATTTTGTTTTAAATTTAGAGAAAAAAAAACTCTCCCCGACCGAACACGATTGAAAATGATTGGCTAGAGATAAGGGACGACGATTGGGACGAATGTCTCTAAAAGATTTCGCGGCCGTTTCACTCACCCGTATCGCTCGTAGTCAGAAGTATTACTCCTCCGGCAGCACTATGCGCAATTTGTCGTACATAATGACGTTTATAGGTTTATTACGATTTTCGGAAATATCCCGCGGCGATCCGAACACGTAAACAATAAAATGTATTCGACGTGTGCGCGGTGGACACGCGTATCGGTACCGTTTTATAACAATTTCGGTCCGGAGCCGAATCGCACACGAATTACGCGGGAAAATCTATACGAAAATCGATACCGAACGCCGCCGCCGAATAACGCGTGTACGAATACGATCGTGAATAATTTTTTTTTTTTTTTTTTTCGTTTTTATTTTTAACCTCCCACGGCGGACGTTTTGTTATTTCGCGGACGCGGCGAGACGAACCGACGGCGGTTTTCGAAATTGGTCACTGGCGCACGAGGCGTACCGACGATATACCGGATGCGTACTGACGGAGCCTTTGCTAACGTTCGCGCGAAATGCCGCCAAAAGCCGGACGGTCGCTCGTCGTACTCGGTCGGTTCGGTTCGGCATCGCACCAAAACGCCCCGGCGAATACTTAAGTGCAAACGTCATCATAATACCTTAAAATATTTAAAACGCGAACATAGTATAGAAAAAAAAAAAAAAAAAACATTATTGGATGGCCTTTATTTTAACACAATAACAGTAGTTAACAACACGTTTGTTCGGTTCCACAACGACGACCTAATAATATCATTTAGGACCATAGATAAATAACGAGACGGGATTGCCTCATCGCCTCAATATTACCACGTAATCTACTTTTCGAGGTTATTTGCAAAATTCACACAACAACTGTGTAGAGCACAAACACTTGCGTGTACATATGACAGTCGATTTAGTTGTGGAAATACGAAACGATTATCGATTATAATATTTTATTAGTACCCAGTTTAAGGCTTTTAACAATTTCTAAGCAAACTTTCAATTTTTATGCTTTCTCTAAAAAAACATGATGTTAAAAAAACACGTTTCATATAGTAGATACCTACTGCTCGTTCATATAGGTGCCTACGAAATATAGAACACATTTTCACGATAGAATTTATTTTTTTGTTTATTTTTAAATAATTTTCATTTGGTTACTATCTTTGTGAGAGTTAATTACAAATAAAATATAATATTCCTTTAAAGAATTTTTACTTTTAAATTGAATTTATATACCTTTTTGATGACCCGTTCTAAAAAAGCCACCGGCTCGGCGGTTTATGTAACGCAAACGTAAAAGGCTCCGTCTGTTTTTCTCTTATATTGTTCACACGCTTCGGTTACCTATATTTTCAATTGCGCCGCACCACTTCACCATGCCTTAATTAGATATGGGAAAGCAACTATATTTGCCGCCGATCGCCAACACACACACACACACACAACACACACATAACACATACGCACAAAATACATGTTTATTTTATTTGTGCAATCTGATATCGTAGTGTATTATTGTTACAACGTTTTTACCGTTGTTCCATTTCAGTCGTTGTTGCGTTCGCTGGTTTTATATTATCGTACGAAAAAATGCAAAACGGTTACAGAAATCGACTGTTTTTTTTTTTTTTTTTGACATTTAAGCTTTAATAACTAATATTATATGATAGTTTATGGACACGAATAGCCATCGGTCACGATCGGGCAGCTACAATGTCTTCTATCTATCACGACCATCACCTTTTGTGTTCTTAGTCTACCATTTTTTTAGTTATAATTTTATAACTAAACAAACTACTAAACTATCATTATTGTTGGGCATTTTTATTATATTAGCTTAGAAAATTTCTATATTTGGATAGCAGGCGTCCAGAAGTACACCGACAGATATTGTAAGTTTTTTATTGTTGTTATCATTTTGTTATAAATCATGCTAAATGACAATATTGATTAGTTAACACTTATACTGTTATATATTTTCATCTGTTGGGCCAATAGGGCCATAATATCTGATTAAGTGTATTATTTATTACTATATTTGCATTTTAAAATTTTCTATTAATCATTATTACTTGTATATAATAATTCAGTTACCAACAATAAAAAATCTGATTACCACCTATTTATATTTGTTCCTTAATTACTGTAGTATAAACGTACCCACCGCACACGTAGAGATATTGATTTTACCAATAAATTTATTTTAGTAAATTTACACTGACCCTAGAATTTTTATTTTTTTAGAAAATCTGCAACCTATATAGAAAATTAACCGAATAATAGCACTAACATAGTTTTTTTGTATTTTCAAACTGAAATTTTAGGTTGTGTTCTTAATAATTTTTGCGCAAATGGATAATTTGTTTCGGTGTCAGGATTAAAGAGTTAACTATTGAAATATATCATAAATCAAATTTTATTGGACATAGAATTACAATTAAAATAAGGAATAATTCGATTTTGAATATGTAAAAATAACTTCAGTAAAATGTACGTAAATTTATCTGACCGGGTAAATTACCGAGCCCTTATCTCTATGCATACATATACACACTTACTGTACACGTATACAGATATAGCATTCTTTAGTACTCAAGGGTTTTGCACAGCGACTCTGTCCACTTCTTTTGAAGTATATTGAATAGATACACTACAAATATGCAGGGCGGTCGGCGAGTAGTGGTGGTTTACGAGTATATTGGTGACCGAGAGAGTGTATTATTATTATATACTTACGGCCCGTTCATATACTTAGAATGAAAATTGTAGCGTTTAAGACGAAATTGGAGTTTAAATATAAATAACAAAATTTAAAAAGGGAATATTTTCGCAGTTTGTACCGTTTTTCTATAAAATTGGCATATTAAGAGTGTTAGTTTTCGAGTATATGAAATTCATTTGGTGAAAATGTAAGTTTTATTTCTCATATGAAAACACCGTGAAATTTAATACATTACAAACAGGCTTAAATGTTATATTACCTAAAAAAATTACAATTCAGTCAAAGTCTATCTGACTGAATTATTTCATTTAACCATTTCAGTGAAAAACTGTACTATCTGAATAAAGTAGGAATAGAGAAGAATAGAATTTGCGACGTTCACAGTAGTAAGTAATACAAAAAATAAACAATTGACAAACAATTGACAAACACTTCATTCAACTCAAAAAACAAAATATGTTTATCTACTTAGATCGAACCAACCACCCAATTACGGTGCGGGGTCTTTAAATAGTTGAAAACGGATAGGTGTTAGATAATTATATTATGTAGGAAATAGATATTCGATGTAGAATTGGTTAGCTTAATAAAATAAACTTAATTTTTCTTTCAAAAGGCAATTATTTTATTATTTTAAGAGGAAGGCGTAGTGTCTTTGGTGAGGCCGTCAAAATCTTGAACGAAAAAACCTCAAATGGAAAATATTAAAACGGTAAAATCTTGAACTGGCTAATTTTTATCTCTTAGGAAATGATCTAATAGGTAGTACCGATTACAGAGTTTACAGTTCAAAATGTTGACCTAGACCCCAACACTACTCACAATAATGACACTACATCTACATAATAATGATTTAGGTAGGTACCTACTTTAATTTGAATACTCTCAGCTTTACAAAATTATAACACAAACGGTTTTTATTTCACATCAACATAGAAATGTGAACTTTTATTGTAAAAAAAGGAACACAATAATATTTTAAATTTGTTTCTAATAACATTATTGTATAATGATTAATTGTGTTAACCGGAATAATTTAATTTAATATTGTACAACTAACATAATTGAACCTTAACAATGCTTTATGAGAGTTAACTTAAAAGAAGTCTCGGGAAACTTTTCGTGGATAAATATATTAAATTATTTGAATGTATAATGTAATTCGAAGTATTCCGAAAGAACATTACAAAAAACATTTTTCACGTTATTTGTGTTTGTATTCCGGAGAATAAAATCAAGTCATAATAGAGCTGATACTGAGAAACCAGAAAAAACATGGAAAAACCGGAAAAATCGGTAAAATAGTAAACAAATTTTATTAAAGAAAATATATAATGCTTATCTAATTATTTGACTGTTATATGACATATATATATTGTTGACAAAACATCGTAAACTGATCTTCGCTCAGATTCGTATTTTTGTTTGCAATGGTTTATCGTTGGTTATATGTATACATTAAATTACCAATAATAGTGGCTACACTTGTCTCCATTATCCTAGGACGTCTCTTTTTTACGTGATTTTTCTTATCGACTTTCTTTTTCTAGGTTCTATGTTAATAAAATATATGATCAAACAGAATCACTTGATAAATTAACAAGAAATTTGTAATGTGTTTTTCTTAATAATGAAAAAAAAAAGAAATAGAATGTAATACAGACATTTTTTACTTTTTTTACCTATAGAGTTTTAAGTTTAAATTTTGATAAAACTGGAATCGTTTTTCGTTGGTTTATCTTTGTTTACAAATATAAATTAAATACTTTAATTCATCCTATATTCCAAAATTCAAACTTAAAATAGTGACACCCTCGTTCCTAGTGTCAGTTTTTATTTTAAACTTATATCTCTACGAAACGATAAATTATATCTGACGAAATACGATCTGAAGGAATTTCGGTTTAATATATTTTGAAATGCCGTCAGTTTTATAAATTTTGTCCAAATTTAATATTTGAAACCCATTAAATATGGGGATTTTATATCACCTGTTTCACAGGTGTTGAGTATAGGAGATGTCTTGTTATGATTCGTGCAGTTATCTGAAACCTAGATTTATATTATTATCTTTTAGTATTTTAAGTATTAAGACTCAGTCACTTTTCATAATAATTACAATTACAATACGTCATTATTTTCAAAAAAATATAAATAATCGGCAACTCGCATTAAAACATCAAGGTTATCATTTTTTAAAAACATACGATTAAGTTAGTACAGCCACAGAATACTCTTAAAATACCATGAACATGTCTCCAATATCTAAGTCTTTGAGAACATTGTCTTTTATAACAATTGCACATTTCATAAATCGGAATTTTAAGTTTTGCATAAATAAACCAATAAAATAAGATAAACATGCTTTAAATATCAGCTACGTATTAAATATCAGCTACATATTAAATATCAGTTAATATCAAATAATATTTGTTTTTCATTCATAAATCACTGAAAAAAATGTTGTTTTCACTCATCAAAATTTTTAAAATTACTATATTATTCTGAATATTTTGGTGTACCATACATTGATACATATCTAGTAAATAGATTTTTGTTATGGTACCCTAAATCAAACCTAATTCATTCAATATTTCGTAATAAAACAACGCAATCAATCATATAAACTCATTTATAAACCAATCGCAGTTAGAGGCATAGGCGATAGTACCTGTGTCTTAGTTATAGTCGTTTTAATTTCTGACGTTTTTAAATGTCTAAGAAAATAAATAATTTTTATAGGTATAGAATAAAATGAAAACCCGCTATTTGTAAAAATAATTATCAAATGTCAGTTGACG